CATGCATATCTATTACAGTTAATTTTAAATTGAGACAGCTCTATAAGGTATCCCTAGATCTTTACAAGCTTTGTTGATATTTTCAATTTTGCTTTGACTCCAGAACTCTTTGCTTTTTAAAGGAAATCGTTTAATAAATTTTTGCACCAAGGTGTGTTTATCGAGAAATCAAGTATTACAAAGCTTGAATAATGTTGACTAAGTCCTGTGTTCCCACCTACTAAGGAGAAATTAGTGTTAAAATACATAGCTGTGGTGATTTTAAATGCCACCAGATGATGGCTTGGATATGTGTTTTGCCCCCAAATTAATGCTCTGAACTAAAAAAATTTACCAGAGAAAATTGTTACTTTAAAAATAGTAAAATTGTGAACTTACTGCAAATAACATATTTTCAAATATTTACATTCCAGCCCTGGCTGGCGTAGCTCAGTGGATTGAGCGCGGGCTGTGAACCAAAGTGTCGCAGGTTCGATTCCCAGCCAGGGTACATGCCTGGGTTGCAGACCATGACCCCCAGCAACCACACATTGATGTTTCTCTCTCTCTCTCTATCTCCCTCCCTTCCCTCTCTAAAAATAAATAAATAAAACCTTAAAAAAAATATTTACATTCCTGTGGTAGTGAATAAGGTTGATGTACAATAAAAGTGATTTATATCACCAGAAGAGTGGAGGTAGAAGCAAATTCTCTGCAGACTTCATTATGTTTTCTGGAATTACACACTTTCATTTATTGTTAAAGGAGTGTATTCAGGGTGTTCCCTCAAACTATACTCACTGAAAGCAAACGTAGGAATATTACATTCTAAATATTACATCTGTCGGTCATCTGATTCTGTTTAATCTGGAATCTGATTTGGGAGAGAAGTGTGCTGATTTTGTGAGTCTGTAACAGTAATGGAAGCAAAATAGATCATTTTTATAACATGATACAGAGGTCATGACTCCCTAAAGGGTTTTGCTTTATTGTTGTTTTGGTTATGTCTAAGGACTACAAAATCTAAGCAAATCTCTTTAAGTGCCCTGGTGTCTTTTTCCTAAATCAGATTGTCTCTCTGGTGTAGCTTTGGAACTGGTTGCTCAGTGAGTAGGTTGGTTTTAGTCAGCATGTTCTTTCTTCCCATTTAAAGTACTTTTTTAACAAGTGGTATATAGTTAGTTGTAAGTTTATATTTATAGATGTTTATGTGACCGAGCACAGGATTAGTGAAATTGCTGGATAATAATATTTGCTACTATTTATTGAGCTCTTTCTTACCATGTGCCAGGTTAGGATTACTGGGTGAGAGTTATTTGATGCAGGAAAGGAATCTGAAAGGTCATATTGAATTTAACTAATAATATAAAAGCTGCTCTTCATTGAGCCCTGCCTTTGTGTCAAGAGTTTAAGGAGACACTGTATGTTGTATTTTTTTTAAATAGAATTTATTGGGATGACATTGGTTAATAAAATTATATAGGTTATGTTGTGTTTCTGATACTTGCAAACGTCCTTGCAAAGGAAGGGTCGTGATTGCTGAGGATACTGAGGTCTGCCTGGGAGGCCAAGTAACTGGAGTGGGGTCCTAAGCTCTTTCCACTGAACCACACTTTGTTGCCAAATAGGCCCAGGTGCTTTTTGTTTAGGATAATTTATTCCCCCACTCTTCCACCCACTGCAGCTAGGATGGATTTTATTCACTAGGACTTTAGGCCAATTTTGGGTGTGGGGGGAGTCTGGTTTAGTAATACTCAGTTTTTAAAATCCATTTTTCATTTCCTTGAAATAGTTTGGAGATTTACGGTTTATTTTTGTTTGTTGAGATAGATTGCTGCAGTCAAATGAACCTAAAACTTTTAAGTTGATTCAGAGGTTTGGGGGAATACTTAGAAGTAAATGGGGAGAAGGATATTTCAATAACTTTTGTGTTGAAGGAGGCTCTCCCCTAAATTATTGCTACAATCCTCCATGAGATTTGTTTAAAATGATTTATTAAATACACGCAAGGTTGTTACTAAGAAAATTAGTTTCTTTAGAATTATTATACTCCACCCAATTAAAAGTGAGTTAATTGAGCTTCTAGGTTAATTTTAGGGTTAGGTGGTTATGGCCCTTTGCTTCCCAGCCATTGCTAATATCCATTTCCCGGCTAATGGTATTAGGCATATTTAGTGTAACATTCTGTTTGGTGTTGAACTGCTTCCTGAATGACTTCTTTTTTAATTTCTTTGAATCAATGGTCTTCTGAATAAGAAGCCTCTGGGCTTGTACACCCAGGCAGTACCCACCTTTTATGGCTAGCCTTTAAAGGCTGCTAGGTCAATGAAATTAAACCTGCCTTTGGATTTTGGGTTTTAGTGAGATGGTGTATGAGTTTCCATTCTGTGTTTAACCTTAACTGAGGCAACTTTGTAGTCTGTAATGACACACATGTTCTCATTAATTATGAAAAGGTGTTGGAAATGTCTTTTCTGGAGTTGAAGTGAGCAGATAATGCTTCTTAAATTGTTACTATATTGGCTCCCCTCAGACATGAACTTTATGATCTAACTAGATTTTGTCTGATTCTCACATTTATCCTTTTTGAAGTTCATGCTTTCTATAGGTTAAAATTAACTGAGGCATGAATTTTCTGCTGTTGCAGATTCTACCTTAACACATAGGGCCGTTGTCTGCTGATGCCATTGTGGTTTTGTACAAAATAGTAGGCAGTCCTTTCCTCTGTCAGAAAGAAGATAACTTATATTTAATGATAAGTCTGATGATGTTCTTTGTTGCACAGTTTAACCAACCTGCTTATTAAGGCTCCATGACCCTTGACCTAGATGACAGACAAATATAGTTAGGTAAATAAGTTTTCTTCTGGTTTGTAAAAGAGTTTACCTTTATAGTCTGTAACAGTTAGAGTGAGTATACTTCTAGGTACAACTTCTAGGTAATTTCCTAGTTTAATGAGAATGTATCAATTCAAGCACCAAATATGGAAAAGAATAAAGTAAAAAAAATTCTTTTGGGAGTAATGAGGTTCTTTTTAAGTTTGCTACATTTCTTCTTGAGTAGTATGTTTTGAAAGTGATTTATTAATATCATTTTATAATATCAGTTACTGTTTATCCTAAGAAAGTAATGTTTAAAAGTTAACTTTGGTGTATGGCCTGTCATAGTTTACAAGTATTTTATTTACATTACCAGTCAATTCACTCAAGAACCATATGGTTATTGTTTTATTAATCATGAAATTGGTGGTGGTGACACCAGTTAACACATTAAAAGGTTGAGGCCCACAGGAGTAACTTGGTCAGGGTTATTCACCTGAGCACCAGAGTTGGAACCCAAACTCAAACCCCCGATCAGCAGCTTTGGCCAGACAAGAGCTCTTTTATGGTCCCTTTTGTCTTCTGTAGTGATGAAGTGATATGTACTGTAAATGATTTGTTACGGCTAATTAAAATGCCACCGTGAATTATTTATTTAAATTTGTGTTGGTTCAAGGCCATTTCTCTACAAATGTAAAGTCCACAAGGACAGAGATTACATCTTATTTGGGTGCTCCTCTCTCCCCAATGTCTAGAACAGTGCCTGCAGATAGTAGCTGTTCAATAATTACTCATTGAAGGAATAAAGCAATGAATTTAATCCACTCTCTTGGATTAGGGTATGCTTTCTTGAGTGGGAAAGAAAGGGAATTGTGCTTAATCACAGCCTTTTCTCCTCTGCTGCGGTTTGGAGGCAGCGCTTTCTATATATATATATATATTAGTAATAATCATGATGGCTTTGGATTATCATTTGAAAATGGTTGGAGGATTTCAAAAAATGTTTATTTAGGCAAGTATAAATGTGTATATGAATCTCAGCTGTCACTTGTGCAAAGATGTTTGAAACCCAAATGTTTGCAGACTGATACTTCTCCCCACTCCTCTTTTTTACTTTGTTTTGAGTTGTTGGCTTCATTATGTCCAACTTTAGCACTCCATTTGTCTCCAATCTAATTTTGTTTTAGGCTAGAGACCTAGATACCCAACATGTACCGTAATTGTTCAGCGTAGATGGGTTTGAATTGAGGAAAGCCCCATTGGTAAAAGGCATGGGCTCTATTAGGTGGGTGGTCTAGACATCTGTGTGGGTTGCTCAGAGGCCTGTTTCAGTTTCCACTCATGCTAGTCTTTCGAATGGGTCAGATTATGGAACAAAAGGTTCTAGATTGGAAATTTGTTAGTATTGTATACTGTTTACAAAAAGAGCTTGAGCTGGTAAAATACTGTAAAGCAAATTATTAGAGCACCTGACTTTATTTCTAAAATCATTTGGGCAGTGAACAGCTGCTTTTTATTGTTTATTAAGTCACAGTGGCAGTGAAAAATTGAAATGAGTACAATTATGTTGTAAAAATGCAAAAAGTATCCCAAGGTAAGGAATTAATTTTATTTACTACTGACTACTACCATTTAAAAAGGAGGGAACCTCAAGCAGACCTGAGAGTTTGAGAATTTAACTCTCATATCACTTGAAATCCATTTCTAAAGAAGGCTTATGATTTGGATTTACCAGAGGTAAATGTGCTTTTTGTATTTTGCAATTTGACGTTAAGAATATTTATGTGCAAAGTGCCTTTTTTGTAAAAGTCCTGTGTAATTGTATTTGCATCGGCAAGCACATGGTAAGGACATTTATAAATAAAGTATTGAACCAGTAGTTAAAAGTTTAAAAATCAGGTTGGTGTGATCAGTCAGTAGATGATGTCCAGTTTCTTTTTAAAAAATAACCCTTAGGTTCACAGCTCTGTCATCGGAAGCAGCCGAAAAGCAGAAACTTTGTCAAGTTTCTGCTGCTCCCTGTTCAGGTCTCTGCAGTCGTGCCTTTTGTAGGCTCTCCAGAGTGCTGCTTCCAGCCGCGACGCCCTGTTTCTGGAAGGTTCTCTGCTTGTAAATTTTAGGTTTCCCTCAAACTTTAACGATATACATCTTCATTTTCAGAAAACGATCTCCTCTAGTAAATTATTATTTCTTATTTTCCAGGAGTTTTCTAACCACATAACCACTCAGATCTGAACCAAACAGCATTGTTCCTGGAGCACCTCTTTTTAAGGTACACATAACTTGGCTCTATAATTTCAGGCCTGTTGGTAATCCATAATATTTTTAAATTCTTCAGTGACTAGTATGGAAAATGACTTTTACTTCTGGCTGTAATATTAGAGAAACAGAAGAGATTTTATGCAGTTTGAATTTCTTTTTACTCTTGAGGTTTAATTAGAAAGTAATTAAGTTCAGGGAAAATTGTTGGCAAGAATGTAAAACCCTCTGGCCAACACTGCCATATACTTTGAGTGTAGAGATGTGAAAATTGACCACTGCAGTTGTCATTAATGTCACTCAGTCAGTAAGCATCACGGTTATAGAAACTTCTGTAGTTTTTCTTTGATCTCTCAGATCGTTTACGTTAAACTTGGTTTTCAAACCTGTAGACCTAATTCAGCGCTGTGTACTGTTGTGAGATGGGGTTAGGAATCAGGGGCCGTTTCCCACTGACTGCTTGTGATTATCTAGACCAAAAACGCTTTGTGAGAGTGTTCCTAAGATTTTACAGTCCTTTTTAGCCTTTTCCTTTTAAGAGCCCAGAACACATTATCATATCAGATCTCTGAGGTGGTAATTAGTAGACAAGTAACCCAGGTTTCTTTGGAAGGAGGAAAGTGAAGCATTAAGGAAATTAGACAAGTTGTACAAAGCCCAGTGAATGGATTTACACTCATCACATTGAATGTGTATAATGTCTTTTTTTTTTTTTTTGAACTGAATAACTTACCAAGCCTTAGGATTCTTTGAGAGTCTTAGCTCTCAGATTGGTAGGACCGAATCTTTGTCAAACCTCCTGTTATAAAGTGATTTGGAGAAACCAAGGCACTGGGCAGGGGATTGCCAAGAGCTGGATATATAATTGCTTTCTGATTTGGGAGTATAACTGAAAGCCACAACTCAGAAGCTTGGTCTGATTTAACATTGTTGGTTGCTACTTGGCAGCGAGGCTGGTTTCTTAGAAACTGGGTCTTGGCACTGGTTGTTTTGCATGAAGACGATGGTAAATGTTTCTAGGTAGATGGCACAAGGTTACAGAGTACAGTTTTTCTTTTTTGAAAGGAAAAGCCAGTTAACTGTTATGTTGAACCAAACCCCTTATTTAAGAATATGTCACAAGGTACTACTCTTAAAAATCTCTACCATATTATAAGTAGATACTTATTTTGGTTGATTTAAAATGTTTTTCTATGTTTTTATAAGTTTAGATCTTAAAAACATTTCCAGTTTACAAAAATAATGTCTGTGAGGTTAGTTTTTTTTTTTTTTTTTAGGATTTTATCTATTTATTTTAGAGAGATGGAGAAGGGAGGGAGAGAGGGAGTGAAACTCAATGTGTGGTTGCCTCTAGCACACCCCATACTGGGAATATGGCCTGCAACCCAGGCATGTTCCCTGAATGGGAATCAAACTGGTGATGCTTTGGTTCACAGGCCTGCGCTCAATCCACTGAGTTACACCAGCCAGGGCCTGAGTTTAGTTATTTTTAAGAATTTCTCTAGGAAGGAAAGAGGGGAGCTTGATAAGATTTCAAAGCTAGAAATTAAAGCTTGCAGCTTGTTAGGCTGCAGAGGTAATTTTTTTTCACTTTAGTACACAATATGGTGTGGTTTTTCTAGGATAAACAATTAATAATGAATTTTCTTTTAGGGAGTGGTTCTTTAAATGGACCACCCAAAGGTTACATTTGTGTGGAAAGAAAATCCTCCCTTGCCTAGTTGGCATCGGACCAGTTGTGAGACAGGGGCCACATTCAGTCACTTATGCTGGATGCAAAGGTCTTGAACAGCCTGGGTTGTTTCCAGGCATTATTTTTGGCTGATTTTATTGTCTTGTAAGTGATTGTGCCTCCTCAGGGCTGCTTTTCCTATGTCTTTCTCTTGAGCACTGAGTACATAATGTTTTTCCCCCCTCTCTTTTGAGTAGTTTGGTCATATTTCTTTCAAAGAACCATTTAGTATTGTGATTTGACATGTGGGCCTACAATTGGACATTATTTACTTGATATTGACATTGTCTTTTTAGAAAGGATTATGTATGATAGTAGTGATTGCCATGTTTCTGTACTTGTGGGTGCCCTATCTACAGGTGTTTGGATAATTATTGGAGTCAACGAATTGCTGTTTCCAGGGTACGGGGGATGGCAGGTGCTGGTGAGGGGTGAAGTTGGGAAGTGAGTGGACTTGCAGGAAACTTATAACCATGTTGCAACTACAAAGATATGTCAGAAAAGTGTCTTGAAAATAACTGTTGGATGTAAAGATATTTTAGGTATATTTCAAGGCTATTGTAGGAAAAGTGGTTTATTCCTTAACGTTTTTGGTGGTGTTGACAAAGTTTCTCTGAGAATGGAGCATCTCAAAAATTAGATGAGTAGATTTATAGTTCATTGCTTAAAGATCTCTTTTGTATTTTTGAAGAAAAGTTTAACAGATTGACTCCTTTGTAGCACTGGAGAATGTGTAATTTGACATATTAGGGTTCGTATGTAGTAGATGCTTAGTAAATTTTTGTTCAACATTGAATGAATATATCCTAAAATTGCTGTTGATACCGTTAGTACTTCATCATGGCAAGGAACTGGAGTATTCCTATGTCCTCATACTACATGAGATTTAATAAAGGTCTTTGGGGAGATATTTAGTTAAATGTTTGGGGTCATCCTAAAATCTTGTCTGGAATTAGGAGGACTTCTTTCTTTTTTTAAAACATATCTTGTTTGGAGACAACAGTTATTACAATGGTAAATGATGTATTGATTGCAAAAAAGTACAGCTACTTCTTTATAAATCATGAGTGAATCCAGTAAAAAAATAGATATTAAAAAATGATGTTTTTCCATAATTTTTGAAGTAGTTACATCATACTACAGTGATTTAACAATCTGTTAGTTGAGAGTGAATAAGACTACGCATTATTGTGGATAGTTCTGTTAACTGTTTCCAGAAGAGTCAGCCTCGTTGTGTATTAAACACATCATTCAGACTGTATTCAGTGTGGCCTACTCTTGATGATTCACTGCTGAGTGAAGAATATGCATATTGTGCCTGATCACTTGGTGGCACATCATGTATAATTTTTAAAAAGTGCTTTTGTAGGGTTGGTGTGCCCATATGCCTCTTCCCCACAACCCATTAAAAAGTACTTGGCACTTGTAAAATGGTAGCTGCCAGCCAAGGTGAGATTCTGTGTTTATGAGATTTTTTGTCACAAAGCCAAAGTTGGGGTGTGAGGGCTTGGAATTAGGAGTCTTTTAAAAAGAGGAATCCATAATGCTGTTTTATCACTCCTCTTTGTATTAAAGTGCTGATACATGCTTCATAAATTTGGGATTTGAGAATAAGATGAATGTGTTTTCCTGAATTGTTAGTGTCTAAAGCTCTTCAAACAGGAAAAAAAAAAAAAAACAAGGACCTCATCTGTGCTGGAGGCAGGAGTCAGGGAAATAGCACAACAGAGGCTTACCTGTCAAAGGTGTTTCCAATGCAGGGAAAACTGAGGAGTCTGTGTGTTTCAAATTTGACAGCCTCATTTTTTAAAAAATTTTTGTTTTTTTAAAGATTTTATTTGTATTTTATTATTTATTTTTAGAGAGGGAAGGGAGGGAGGGAGAAAGAGAGAGAGAAACATCAATGTGCAGTTGCTGGGGGTTACGGCCTGTAACCCAGGCATGTCCCCTGACTGGGAATCGAACCTGCGACACTTTGGTTCACAGCCCGCGCTCAATCCACTGAGCTACGCCAGCCAGGTAGCCTCATTTTAGTGTAAAATACTGTTCTTCTATAAGGAGACTCCAACAAAGTATTTTAATCTCTTTTGAATCCCTAATTTATCTGGTGGAAAACAATCCTTAAAGATAGATTAAAAGGAAAAAAACAACTTTTCGTTTAAGGGTTTAATATCTTCAGGACTGAGTGCTGGTGAGCAGCAGGTTCTAAATTTATACTGAAGTAATGTACCCCAAATTCCAAGGTTCCTCTGAAGGCTGCTGTGAACTCTATAAACAGCAGTAGTCAAAAGCTGCATTCGATCTCTGAGTTATGTGGGTAAACAATATTTTCCCCCATTTATAACTGTGATGGCTTCTCTTTGGGAGAGGAGCATCTGTTTGGCTAAAACATTAGCATCAGTTTTTTTAGAGCCTTTGAGGTGAAAAGGGGATTTTCTTTTTCTGTTTAAGAATATATAAGCTGCTTGTTACATTAGTAAGATTTTATTTTGTGAGTTAGTGTCTAGGCAGTTGGAACAGCATCCTTGACGCCTCTCCCCACTAGATACTAGTAGGTCCCCTTGACCCCTAGCTGTGACAACCAAATAATATCTCCAGACATTGTCACATGCCTTTGGGGAACAAAATTACCCCTTCTTTAGAACCACTGCTTTAGATTCTCTTTTCAGGCCTAAAGACACATAGAAGTATTAAATTAGCAAATGACTAAACATTTATTAACAAATGAGTACAATTTTTTGGGTTTTAGTATTGGTCATGTTGTAGGAATTAAAAATTTGTAAAGTACACGGCCTTATTAAGAGGGCTTAAAATTTTTTTGTTTGCAGTTTTGAACTAGTTGTTTCAACCAATGGATATAAAGACAACATCTCCAGGTGAACCTGAGGTTAACATTTTTGGGACAGTTATTTAAAAGCCTGTTTGTTCCCTTTCTCAACTTCTAGAAAACCTGTGTATTTTTGTCTGTGATGGAAATTCTGGCAGTGGGCCTGCTATAGACAGCATTAGCCAAAAAAGATCCCTTTGGGCCCCCCCTTTCTAAACTTAGTCATTCATTCAGTCTCAGACTCTCAGAGCCAGAGCAGAGTCGGGTTGCTCCTTCTGGGGTATGGGTAGACCCTGACGCAGACACTTGCTTTGGCTACTTTTTGACCTGTGGTTGGTGTCCTGAAGTTGTGAGTATGCTGTAAGTGACTTTGGGGGGAGGGTAGAAAAATGCCCTCAAGACAGAGTTTAGAAAGACAGGGAGAGGGGGAAGAGCAAGAAAGAAATATTTGGCAGCTGAAGGAAGTAAAGACAATAAAATGAGGTCACATTGGCTATGAGTGCAGCCCAACACAAAACCGTAAATTATTACATTATGAGATTTAAAACATTATGAGATTTTTTTGTGATTGTGTGTTGTAATATATTCAATGTGTGGCTCAAGACAACTCTTCCAGTGTGGCCCCGAGTTGCCAGAAGGCTGGACACCTCTGCTTTAAATGGTTTTGGGCTTGTTTCCGACACTGGCAACTTGTCTAAGGCCATTTTCTAGATCTTCGGTGGAACTATTACTTGGTTCTGGTTCCAAAAGGAAACAAGGAACAACTGCAGTATTGGGCAGTTTTTTGAAGAGGGTAATGTTCATGCTTCTGTGATCCAAAGTGATATTTCATCTGAGGTTTTGAGTTCGGTTTTGGTTTTGGTTTGGTTGAGTTTTGCAGCCTTTTTTGCCCTAAGCAAGAGAGAATGTGCCAGGACTCTTCAAGTGACTTAATTATTCTGGTCTTTCATCTCTTTCTAGAGGTTCAGCTTTCACTAAAAATCATTTTGAGACTTTTTAAAAAGTAAAGTGACAAACAATGGCTCTATAATAAAACTTCATTTGTTTGCTGGTTTCTGCTTTGGTCGGCTTTTTCTGTTCTTTGTTGCTACTAGTTACTTTTGAGTACTTTTGCTTTTAGTATTTTTAGCTTTTCGGTGGACAGTCATGAAAATGAGCAAAACTATCCTTGTTTTTGACTTGTGGAGAAATCAAAATTTATTTAGAACGAATGAATGCCTTTGAGACTTACAAGTTGCAGTAAAACATTCTTCTCCGCTTCTCTAGGCTCTACCCCCACCAGCCACAGCAGTAAAATTGCCAGTCTGAAGTCTTTTCTTCTTCGTCTTCTCCACTTTTGCTTTTAATTGTATATATACTGTAGAATATTCTTCGCTATTTAGATGATTTCTCAGGATCAAATGTTGATGTGGATCCAACAGTTTTTTTCCCCATTGAGGTCTGTAGTTAAATGAGACCACCTCAGAACAAACCTCTTAGGAAAACAAGTTGATCTTTTATCATTATACAAAGAAACAGCAAAAGTGAGAAATACTTTTCTTCAGTCAACTGAAAGGAAAGCTCCAGAGGTGCCAGTCTGAGCATTTACTGAGGCCCTTAAATGGGAGCGGTGCTTATATTTACCCACTGATGGTGGTGTAGCCCAGTTTGCTTTCAGCTTCTTAGAATTTTGAGGCCAGAAACCTTTACCATACCCCATATACTATGGAAAATCCTCTCCATGTTTTAAAATTGTATTTTTGAATATAAGCTGCAATTTGTAATTCTTAATATTCACTGGTAAATATTATACCCTACTGATTTTCTTTTCTTAATATTTGCCAGTAAATATTATTATACCCTACTGATTTTCTTCCTTCCTTCCTTCCTTTCTTTCTTTTTAGAGGGGAAGAGGGGGAGAAAGAGAGGGAAAGAGAACCATCAATGTGTGAGAGATACACCCATCAGTTGCCTCTCAGATACCCCTAACTGGGGACCTGGCCTGCAACTGAGGCATGTATGTGCCCTGACTGGGACTTGAACCGGTGACCTTTCAGTTTGCAGGCTGCTTCTCAGTCCACTGAGCCACACCAGCCAGGGCCTGATTTTCTTCATAAAATGAACATACAGAGCATGTGGGTATTGTGAGTCATTTAAAGACACTTGAGAAAATCACAAGGCCAGGAACCTCTTGTATACCAAAGAGGAACATTTATAATACATCTACATAGCTACATGCTAAATGGGGCTGTTTTTCATACTTGAGAAGGTGACACCAATTTTGACTAAATATTGGCAATTACATATCTCCTCTATAATTTACCTTTTTATTTTTTTTCTTACAACTTTTAGGTAGAACTTTAGACTTCATAGCACTGAATTAACCTGCACTGAAAGCTGTTTACCTGCAGTTATTCACTTTTGTTGAAAGTGACCATGTCTCAAGTTCAAGTGCAAGTTCAGAACCCATCTGCTGCTCTCTCAGGGAGCCAAATACTGAACAAGAACCAGTCTCTTCTCTCACAGCCTTTGATGAGTATTCCTTCTACTACTAGCTCTCTGCCCTCTGAAAATGCAGGTAGACCTATTCAAAACTCTGCTTTACCCTCTGCATCTATTACATCCACCAGTGCAGCTGCAGGTAAGCGTGTGAATCCAAGTGTCTTCTGTTTCAAATGTGTTCTCAGCCTGTTTTTTGATCTGATAAGTAGATTGCAGATGTAGGGAGCTCTCACATTTACCTTCAGGAAGCAGAAGAAAATATTACTGCCCAAGCTTCTTTATCCCAGATGTAAAACACTTTGTTGTGTATTGGGTTGATGGAGGCCTCGGTTGATACACCATTTCAAAGTGTAAAAAAAGAGAATTGAAAACTAAACTATAAAGCCTAGTCTATTATAAAGTGGACACTGGCAGGAAGAATTGAACAGTAAATTTCACTTTGGATAGTCGTTGTTGTATGGGAAAATTTTGCTTTTAAAATGATTTCCCAGAACTGACAAAGAACTTTTGTAAGTGTAAAGCCCCCATTTTGTATGTCTTTAAGATTTTATCCCAAGCAAGGGGGCAGTCAGCTTTACTGGCAAGCAGAAGAGTGCATTGGCATTTGTTAATGTTTATTTTTAATAGGTTTAAGTTGAAGAGATTCCAGGGGTAGTTCAGAAATCATAGTGAGGACCAATTAGAGATTGAACAAAGAAGCAGAGATTTTTTAAAAAGGAAATAAGTTTAGAAGCATTCAGATCTCATTAGGAACCTCAAAGTGACCTAACTGTGCTTATTGATTAGGAAAGACTTCAATACTTCAGAAAAACCCCCTAAAAACAGTATTTTCTCTCCCACCTCCCTGAAGCGGCAAATCCAGTTCAATGGAGTGTCTGCATGGGTGTCTCCATGCCTGAGTCACCTTGTAACAAATGCCTTCCAATCCCTTATACCTGACAGTTTCCTTTGCATTTCATTCTCATTTCCTTTACTTTGTAAACTTATTCTTAGAGGGTTAGCTTGCCCCACTCTGAGCTGCAGGGTTCTAGACTTGGACCAGCTTGCCAGATAGCTTACAGCATTCTTGACTTGTCATAGTCCCTAGAGATTTAATTTTCCCCACATTGGCCATTTGAGATAGTCTTGAAAGGCAATGGCACCAACTCTTTCAGTCCTCTGGGGTTTATTGCTTTTATTTCTAATATGTCTTACAGCTACATCCTGTTGACTTTGTAAAACTCCTGCCCACCAAGGCCATTCTATATTTTCCTTTTATGATTTTCAGACATAGGTAAGGTCTGAGGATAGCAGCCTCTGGAGATCAGACTAGGGACACCCAGTAATGAGAAGTTCAGTTTGTGGAAATCGACATTTATTGTTTGAGAGATGGTGTCGGCATGTTGCGTTTTGTGAAATAATGAACAGAATACAGCTGACAGCTGTTGTGGTGTCTGTTCAGAAGACCTTGTTATTCCCTCGGTTGGTTTTAATAGCAGTGTCATCTGATTTCAGGTCTTGCTTGCCTGCCATGGTTTAGTTATTCCCTTGACTTCTATTCTCTCTCTTTAAAGACACCCTCTCCTAGGTGTCCTGGCCTTAACTGGTTCAGAAAAGATCCCAGCTGCCTTCAGGGATGTGCCCCAGTGTGGTTTGCAGATTTGCATCACTGCTGCTCTAAATCCTTAGACCTTCAGTTTGCTTTCCCTCTTTTTTCATATCCATAGCAGAGCAGCAGTCTGTATACTTGACTTCAATGCTCTTACGTTATTTTTCAGTTCCTTCTAGCATGGCACACCCCAAAGAGAAAACCCCAATGTGTCTTGTGAATGAGTTAGCCCGTTTCAACAAGATTCAGCCTGAGTATAAGCTTTTGCATGAGCAAGGTCCGGCTCACTGTAAGGTAAATATTGTCATACTGCTTGTGCATTTATAACCCACCAGGAATGTTTTCTGTCTTTTTTTATACTGTTGCAAGTGGTGATGTGATTCAGAATATGTATTTCAGAATATGTGATTCAGAATATGCTGAGGTTATTTTAAAGAGATGTAAAAGTATAGATTTTTGGCAAGTTATTTCCTTTTTTTCCTTGTAGAATGGGTTAAATAAAAGATATACTTCTGTTTAGGATATTTGACTTTTAAAGCTCCATTTAGTGTGTGGTAGTTTAGGATTCTGAATAAAGACAATTCTCAAGCACCTGTGAATGAATTCCTATGAGTTTGCCAGGCCCTGGCCCTCCTGGCTGCAGCCTCCCTTTGGCTCCTTTCCTGCTTGTGTGCACGTGTACCTTAGACTGGGCAGGGAGGGGGCGAACCAGAAATCAGTTTTGCCATTTGTTAGCCATCAGGTAAAGGTTTGAAGATGAGAGGTAGAAATCAGCCTCAAAGTGAGTATTCTAGATTGTCTCTGGTGTCAGTTTTCCTCATCATTCCCCTTAGAAAGTGAAAGACTGATTATAATTTGAATGTTTACTATTTGCTTATCAAGAATTCAGGCCTTTAAGTTTGTTTGATATTCATGCTAATGCAGGTCTTGGAATTTAAATGTTTGCATATCTGGCTTTATCTTTTGCTGCTGTAGTATGAGAGGATGTAGTGTGGGAAGGTGCAGTGTGAGAGGTGAGGAATTCAGCCTCCTGTTTCTGGTCCTAGCCCTGTAGTAACATAGATAATTAAGGGTGAGTTATCCGTCTGTGCCTCATTTTTCTTGACATGCAAACCTCAAGCCTTAAATGATAACCACGTTTTCTTTTTTCATCTGACTAAAAGTAACACCAGTCACTATCATAAATAGGGCAGTTAGGTAAGTGGCCTTTGAGGACAGATCTGGTTTTGAACCCTAGCTTCTTTCTAGCTGTGTGACCTTGAGCAAGTTCCAGTTTTTTTTTGAACCTGTTTCCTCATCTGTAAAATGGGGATAATAATACCTACCAAATAGGCCTAGTGTGAAAACTAAATGAGAGAATATATGTCAAAGTGTGGAAACAATGCTTGGTGTTTAGTAAATGCTTGAGAAATGGTAGCTATTATCATCAAGCAATATGCATTTAAGGAAAAACAAATTTTCCACTCAGTTGAAGCTAATTTAACATTATTCTAAAGCATTATTTGAAAAATTTTTTTTTTTTTTTTTACTTTCAACAGGCAATTACTCATTTTTTATCATTATTCTGTTTCTTCTACAGGATTTTTTTTGCAGACCTTAACTTTGGGATTCCCTTTATAAACTGTTTCGGTATTTTTTAAAATACATACTTTCTCTCTTCAACTTCAGTACTTTAGGTAATTTGGCTGTGTGTTTAACCTATAGCTGCGTTTTCTTAAAACCTACAAATCATTCAAAGGGCAAAAGTTATTCCCTCCTAGATGACTGTTCGACCATTTAAAAAGTCAGAGGTCTGGTGTGCTCCTAATTCTTTCAAAACCAAGATTCTAACTTGTTACCAATCATCCACACAGAGGCAACAGAGTGACAGCAGCCGCCGGATGAGTAAGGTCCTGGAGAAAGGCAAGACTGTTAATGGAATTAACTCTTAATTTTGTTTTTTTAGCATTTCCCCCCTCAGTGTCTTTCATGAAAGGATCATGAACATGACTCAGGGCTTGCACAGCACTGCAGGCTTCTGCTCAGACTTCGCAGGCCAGCCAGGGGTTTGTGTTCGTGATATTGGTGCTTAAAATGACTAACCTTGTGACCTGCAGCATCAATACAGGGGACCCCTCATGTTTCGGGGGTGGGAGGGCGTGAAGGAATCTTTCATTTTTTCCCCTTTAGTGGAAGCTGTGCACTGAGGGAATCCTGAAGTTAAGACCTACAAGAAAAATCAGCTGTGAAGGCAAGTTGCCCCCATCCCTTTAGGCACTGCACTGAAGTGACCTAGGCCTACTGAAGTCAACCTTTCTCATGTAAATAGTTTTAAGTGAAATAAAGTGATAGTGATAAAATCAGGAAAATAAAAGCTCCAAAGTAGGGGTGTCAAACTTTGGAGTGCATCAGGGTCATTTTGGGAGATTATTAAAGTCAGACATGCTGACTTGTCCCTCACGTTGTTTATTTGAAATCTCTGGGCTTGTGTGTTTTACCAAGCTTCCTAGTTGTTACTCAAATGGACGCTAAAGTTAACAGATCACAGTGCTCTGATGGGTGATCGTTTTCTGGCAGTATTACTTCAATACTGATAGCATTAATATAACTTAATTTTAAGAGTGGAATGGAGTTACCTTTATACTTAAAAGGGGAAGAGAAGCTTGCCATTTGTTGAGAACGAAATTAGCTGTTTGGGTGCTTCCTTAGAATTGAATTCAAAAACGTTTTTTTAGCTCTTTGCTTGCTGTAGATCTGATTTTCGTTTGCAAGTGGAGGCAGCGTCTGAATAGTGCAGTCTTAGGAAAGTGAAAGGCAACATTTTACAACGTGGCCGACATTCCCAAATGTATTCAGGTTTTTGTCCTACTGGTGGTGTGTTTTCAGAAAGGAGTCCACAAACACATTACAACATTAAAACAAATATTGTCTTAACTTGTATGAGGTGTTGTGTGTCCGAATCAAGTTTGCTAAATTTCCTCCATGAGAAGTAATTCGAAGACAGTTGTTATTTGGATGGCTTCCAAATGCGTCTAATGTTTTAATAAGAAAACATTTTAAAACCTGTACTTACTCCCATCCTTCAAACAGTTTTTTCATGGAGTATTATCCATTACTAGTTTTATATATATCTATATCAACAAGATACAGATATATCTCTTTCTATATATATCTATCTTTTTGTGTTTGTAAAAACAAAGAAGGTGGTGATAGGATAAATTACCAACAAAATGACCAGGCTTTTTAAACCATGACCATAAAAAATGTTCAGGGTCCAAGTGACATATTACAATTAACATCAGGTTTCATGAATTGAGAGCTCACAATTTTCATTTGTAGGTGTTTACAGTACAGCTAACACTTGGAGATCAGCACTGGGAAGCTGAAGGAAGTAGTATTAAAAAAGCCCAACACACAGCTGCTGCCAAAGCTTTGGAAGGAACAAAATTTCCTAAACCCATAGTCCGCCCTTTTCGTAGCGAAGGAAGGAATCCAGGTATTATGCGTGGGCCAAGACAGGTTCCTTTCAAAAGTGTGCCGAGAGGTACCCATTTAGTATGTATGTGAATTCTTCTAACTAACTTGTTGATTTTGAAAGCACAGATTCCACACTACCAGTGGCAAATGCTTATCCTGACTCTGTAGGAGTGGTTCCCAATCTATGGTTCCTTGACTCCTGGCGATCTGGAGAGGCAGTCATGGAAGGTGGGGGTGTCACCAGACAATTTCTAAAATTTCAGAAAAGCTTAGTGACAAACATGTTTTCCCTTGTTAGGGTGTACAGAGTGCCAAGAATGCAGTTTCAGCTAGCATCACTTCACTCAGTGTGCTAACAGTGATTATAACGTGTTGATCAGAAATTCTCACTGTCAGTTAACGTGCCTCCTGTTTTTAAAAAGAATGAGGAAATAAGTACAAATCAGTAGATAGTGTCTCTTCCAACAAGGGAACCAAGCGAGAAAAATACTAATGAAGAAGAGTGTCTGCTGGGAAGTTGGGAACCACTGGACTGGCAGCCGTGGGAAGAGTGGTGTTTTAGCCGTCACCCTTCCAGTGCCTGAAGTCACCCCAGGCCCTTTGTGTGCGGGAACCACCCAGGAAGGCCTTGGTCACACCTTTTTCATTGCTTTTGATTTCTTTGTGGTATTACGTCTTTAAATTCATTCTCTACTGCACAAAAATTTGATGCGTCAGAACTGCTCTTCAATGATTCAGATATTTAAGTGTAACTATGAATTATATAAAAATATAATCCTGATGTTAGGTAGAGAAGAGTTGGTTATTCATGTGACCCTCTAACTTTTGCGAACCCAAAGGTATTCTTACACATTTGATTTATGCACTAAATTTAGTTAGACCAGTGATAGTGCAGAATCAAATCATTTTTACTGTCCCGTATATAATGTCCCAAAGGGGCCTTTTAAAGTGGATTTGTGTGTGCATTTAAATTGAACTTTGCCATTGCTAGTGTTGTTCTGTGTTTGATATGGAAGTGTTGCTTTTAAATGTGGTTGTACACTGATACTAATCTTTCCAGGTTGGTTTTCTTTTTAAAGGTTTATGAATTGGATGCACTTAGAAAAAATTGGAAAATGAATAGTATATGTTCTCTAAAGCTTATAATTCTGGGGTTAACCCAAGATACACTTGCTCCTATTGTGTGTAAAAACAATTCATTTTTCCCAATAAGTATTACTACATGATTGATCGGCCCAATCCTAGTATAAATAGTGAGAACGGAGGTATCTGAATATTTTGTGGGTCTCATCTGACTTCTTCAAATAGAATTTACTTGCCCCCTCCTCAGTGATTCTACACCTGCCCTTATTACATCTTCTATTGCATTGTAGCTCTTTGAGTGTATTTTGTGTTCTTTGAGCTACTCTGGGGCAAGAATTGTCCCCAAGCTTATTAGCACAGTGCTTTGCACCCAATTAGTACTTAATAAATGCGTTGTTCTGTGAAATAGTGTGTACAAACATACTTCTAAGTGTAAGCCAATTGCCAAGTAAGTCAGTACAACCAAAGTTATGTTGGTTTAAGTGTTCCCAAACAATAAAATGACTGCGCAAGTCACTTTATTGGGATTTTAAAATCCCATTAAAAATGGGATTTTTTAATCATGGAAGTTGATAGATATATATTGGAACTTATTTCTGACGACTGGAATGTGTGGCTTTCACTGATAACATATTGTGTTAAATTGCTGCTCCCTTTAATAGTCCCGTAATACATTTTGTGTTGTTGACTGTGTGTTTATAGCTAGAGATCACAGCAGATTCTTGGATATCCTCACCTGATGCCTAGCAGTACAGTATTTAGACGCTTTCATGAAATGTATCATGAATCAATTAGAGAAAGCATGCTCTTTTTAAAAATTTTTTAACTCTCATTCTCATGTCAGAAAAAAAAAACCAGTTCTTGTGTTAATTCTGTGTTGCAGACAGCATAACCCCTACTGTAGAGCTAAATGCACTGTGCATGAAACTTGGAAAAAAACCAATGTACAAACCCGTTGACCCTTACTCTCGGATGCAGTCCACCTATAACTACAACATGAGAGGAGGTGCTTATCCCCCAAGGTATGTATGTATTTTAAATACAGGTGAAAATTTATCTGATCTTTTTCTTTTAATTAATTTTTGAGAAGAGAGCAGGGGTAGGGGGGAGAAGAGAGGAAGAGAAACATTGATTTGTTGTTCCAGTTATTGATGCATTCATTGTTTGACTCTTGTATGTGCCCTGACTGGGGATCAAACCCGCAACCTTGGTGTATTGGGACAATGCTTTAACCAACTGAGCTACCTGGCCAGGGCCATCTGATCTTTTGCAAAGAACAGTGAAATCTATAGATTGTGGAGCACATGACGATTTGGTTATTTTGGCTTGTCACATGTTGAAGCCAGTTTTCATTGTGTTGGTGTCTCTGGAATGTCTCGATGCTCTTTTATCTCCAGTTGTTGGAAAGGGCCAGAGCATGTTCCTCTCAGGCAGTGTGGCTTGTGCCCCCCAGTGGTCTTGTTAAAGATTGCCCTGGGAACTGCTTTGTGTCACTGAGGCATATTTGAATATGAACATGAGTCCCACAATACTGTGATTCTCAGCATTTCCTGGTTTCCTGGGTACTTTTTGACATTTGAATTTATGTGCTTTGTAAATAGTCTTGGCGTACAGGTGTAATAACAGTACTCATTGAACCTGGAAATGCCACGTGCTAAAAACCTTCTGCTCTCAGTCATAAGCCGTTAATGGATAGAGCAGTGATCGAAATTGGACGTCTTTATTTCCCTACCCTACTTGGGGGTGGGGACAACCAAAGCCATTTAAAAAATACAAACTCTAAAGTTTGTAGCCCAGCCTCTGCCAGGCTGTAAGCTGTTGGGACTTGCAGAAATGAGGGTCCTTTTGAAAAGACTTCTGTTGAAAAATTCCCAGCCTTTTGCGGAAACAACACAAGTGTGACTCTCAGATATGAGAAAGCAGAGCAAGTTAAGTTTTCTGATTCCGTCAAAGCCTAGTCCATTTTAGAGTTTGTAAATACTGTGTGAAAGTTCTAATCTAGGGTAAATTTACTCTGCATATATGACGACAACCTCGTTGGCCAGCAAACACTAACACAGTTAGGACCCATGATGGAGGGGAAATACCTGGAATTTTCCAGAGAATGTATGGGTGACTCATCGATCTGAGACTAATTTTCTTCACCTCCTTTTATTTTTAGGTACTTTTACCCATTTCCAGTACCACCCTTACTTTATCAAGTTGAACTTTCTGTGGGAGGACAGCAATTTAATGGGAAAGGAAAGACGAGACAGGCTGCGAAACATGATGCTGCTGCGAAAGCTTTGAGGATCCTGCAGAACGAGCCCCCGCCCGAGCGGCTGGAGGTGAGGAGAGAGCAGAGCTGGAGCTCCTCGGCACTGCGGGGCGAGCAGGGTGGCCTGGAAGGCATCGCCTCAAGTGCCTTTCCTAAGGAGGTGCATTGGGAGCTGTCTGTGACTTTTGTTGTCTGATAGCTTACAAGATTTTGTATTCTGGTAGCTTTCTTGCCTTTTTTTCAAAAATTTCTTAGCAAGAACGGTGCCTTCTTTTTCAGTCTGTGGCATAGTTTTGAGTGAACATGTTAGAAAGAATGTTAGAAAGATTGTGAACTCAGTTGAACTGTGAAGAACGTGCATGGACGAATTCCTCGGTGTTAAAGGTCATCATGCTTGTCAGAATCTACTGTGATTTACAGTGTCAGGTTAGAGAATTTTCTGAAGCCATTTTTGAGTAGTCACTCTTTGTTATATTCAAGTGCCAGTTATCTGTTGCTGCATAACAAAGCATCACAAAACTTAGTGGCTTAAACACCTACAGGTACCTTGCTCACGAATCCAACTTCAGGTTGACACTTGGCAGGGAGACCTTGTCTGCGCCACATAGCTATGGCTGCGGCAGCTGTGTAGGAGACGGAGAGCCCACTTTCAGGTTGGCGCCCTCACACGGCTGGGACGGTACTGCTGGCTGTCTTCTGGCTGTGGGCTGGGAACTAAGTGGGGGCTCTGGCTCAGAGACCTCAGCTGCCCTCTCAGTTAACTTGTGTAAAGGCTGCTCACACACCCTCGTGGTCCGGCAGCTGGGTACCGAGAGGGAGCATCCTGGGAGACAGGAAAAGGGAAGCAGCTGCCAGCGTTTCTTAAGGCCCGGGCCCAGAAATCAGCACAGCACTGCTTCTAGCTTATTCTATAGGTCAGACGGGCACAGAGCCCACATTCAAAAGGAAGATATAAAGAATCTCATTTTTTAAAAATTCAGGTAAAATTCACGTCATAAAAATTCACAATTTTAACCATTTTTAAGCCCCATAGTTCAGTGGTTTTTAGTACATTCATAATATTGAGAACACTACCTCTAGAGGAGAGGAGTATAGGAAAACTTGGACCATGTTTTAAAACTACCACAATAGGAAAATGATTTTTAACTTTTTGTGACTAAATAGGAATCTGGGTCTTAGGAAATCAGTGACTCCATGCCACCAAGGGGCCAGAGCCTGGTTAATACCCCTGATGAGGCAGAGTCTGACTGCCATCAGTGCAAAGGAAACTCATTGAGCAGAAAACATGGAGACTTCATGGTTCTGTTGAATCATAGCATGGAATGCCGTCTGGAAATACCTCTGGGAAGCATCTGATTTTTCCTGTTCAAGGAACAAGTTTACAGATAAGGTCTTGCATCGAACACTGGTCTGAATGTTTGATGACAGGTGTGAGCTCAAGTGAACCCCTAGCAAGGTGCCTGCTGCGCTCCATCGTACTGAGGCTGTTCTCCGGGGTGCCCCATCTCAGGATGGTGCTCTGTGGCTTCAGGGCTGGCCACACATGGGTGGGCGGGTTGATTTGCTACAGTGCATTTTCATTTTCTATTGTAATTACACATTTTTAGAGATGATCTCTTTCCAGCGTCTCCACAGACCCAGTAAAAGAAAATGGACTATAACTTAGAAGAGGGGGATTTAGTGAAGTTAATAGAATGAGCTTTTCGATGGTGAGATTTGGTAAAACACCAAAAGCTAGTGTAATTTGGGGCATTTTGGAGGCTTCTCATTTTTTTTAATAGAATATCTACTTTATTCTTTTTTTTTTTAAGATTTTATTTATTTATTTTTAGAGAGGGAAGGGAGGGAAAAAGAGAGAGAGAGAGAAACATCAGTGTGCGGTTGCTGGGGGCCGTGGCCTGCAACCCAGGCATGTGCCCTGACTGGGAATCGAAACTGTGACACTTTGGTTCGCAGCCCATGCTCAATCCACTGAGCTCCGCCAGCCAGGGCTCGGCTTCTCATTTTTTGACTTGACTTTGATGCTAATCTAATTGGACTCAGGTGGAGTAAGTATTTTCTTGGTTCCTTCCAGCCAGCAGTTATTAAAAGATTATTGATCACTGGTGTGTGGGTTGTCTGTTTCAGAATCATTTGAGAAGTTTTTTTTAAAAAATCTTTTGGCCCAGCCCACAATGATTCTAATACAGTAGGTCTAGGGTGAGACCCAGGAGTGTGTCTTTTGCCTTTTATCTTTTTTAATGTGCTGTTGGAGTAATTCTAAAGCATGGTCAGAGTTTGGGAACCACAGGTCCTAAGTATTATCAGTGCTTTGCAGGCAGTTTCCCGCTCTGAGTCCTCCTTGGAAGCACTCAGTTTATTGTCAGACAGTGAAAGTATCTGTTGGGGTCTCTGAGCCCGCCCATCACTCCCAAGAGCAGCGGTGCTCAGCTCGGGCCAGTGGGCAGAGGCTGTAGTAGACGTGCCCTCCTGGGCTCATCTCATATGTGTAAGGAGCTCTGCGGAGAGCAAAGTTCCCATCTGTTCATGCCCTTTGTCTCCTCCCCTTTGCCCCTTCTCTTCGTTGTGTGTAGTTGGAGGCAGAGACAGTGCCCTTCAGAAATGGTTCAGGGGCTGGCCTTAGCTAGTGCCTCAGAAATAAGAATCATTAACACAGATAAAACATTTTCTTTGAACTAGTAAATGAAACACTTGGCCTCCCACCTAAACAAGCTGCCCCCGGTAGGTGGGTAGTAGAGGGTAAAGAGAGACATTTTCAAGAGATAACATGAAATTTTTTTTTTTTTTTACAAATAATGCATTCGAGAGATACAATTTTTTAAAATTCACAAAATGAAAAACAAATGGTTTATAAATGTACCACTCGTAGATAATCATAAACATTTCAGTAGATATCAGTGCATATATAAGTAAATACACAAACGGGATGATATTGTACAGTAACAACCTTTTTTTACTGGTGTGCTTGTCATGAATATATTATGCCACTTTCTGATTCCGTGGAGGACTCAGATTCAGGTGTATCTAAGCTCTTTTTAATGGCTGTAAAGTGTTGCGTTGTGTGCACATGCCAGTTTATTTTTTCAACAGAGGCTTGGCTGTTCAGTTGGTTTGCATTTTTTCCTGTTATAAAATAGGTCATGAAGAACACTTGTAATTAAATCTGTGTGTGTGTCTGTGGCTGTTTTCGCAGACCACAGTCCTAGAAGTGGACTTGTACATCGCGTGTGGTCAAGTTCCCCGTCCGGAAGATGGTACCGTTTTGGACTCTGCTAACAGGGCGTGAGCATACTTTTTTGCCCATGGCCTGCCAGCGTTGGAGATTGTCTGCTACTGAAAATTTTGGAGCATGTGATTGTGTGGCGGATCATTTCATTTGCTCTAGAACATAGTCAAGGCAGCAGTTTCTGTCTCCAAGGCAGGTGTAGTCTGGTCCCTTGACGACAGGCATTGTGCTGGGTCCCTTCCCCTGTGGAGCTTGTTGAAGGGAGCTCACAGACCTTCACATCAGTATCATCAAAAGTGCAGTGAGTGCTAGGATGGAAAAGCAAGTGTTCTGAGAGCGTAAAAGGCCTTGTTTCGAGTGGAGTCATGGTGGTGTATTCAGAGAAGTTCCCTCTGAGGGAGTCATTTAAGCTGAGACTATTATGATGAGCAAAGAGCAGGGGGAGGGAGGTGTTTTGCCAGCCAAGGGAGCAGCTCATGCAGAGGTCCTGATTTGGGATGGCACTTTTCCTTTATTTTATTTTAAATCTAAGGCTTTTGCTAATAAAGGATGACTTTTTGTCATCCTGAGCTGTTTGGAAGGTGAGAATTCGGAGTTTTTCTTTTCCCATCCTTACTGGCAACGAGAAGAGAATTGACAGTGGAACACATTTTGTTATTAGACAAACCAGAAGATGAATGCAGAGGGACAGATAGCACTCTACACTCTTAGTTGCGATGGTGAGATTGAGTGCTTAAGTAAGATCTCAGACTGTGAGTCTTAGATGATACCTCAGATAAATTTTCCCCCACTCAAGAATCGGCGAGTGGATAATATAGTCCTGTGGGTGTGCAAAAAGGAAATGTGTATTGTCTTCTGGTCATTCAGCAGAAAGAACTTCGTCACACAATATTTTGCAACACGAACCTGGACCATCCTGTTCTGATCTTTAAAAAAAAAAAATGTGTGAGAACATTCTTTCATTCTTTGTGATGTTTGGCCACCAGAATTTCTTAATCATTGTCCACAAAATAAGTGGACAAATGCAAAAGGAAGTGTTATATACAAAGATGAGAGGAAAGAAATAGACGATATAATGAAAAAGATCATTAGATTGATCCCTCCTTGGAGTTTATAAATGTAAAAATGAAAACATTTTTTTTAGTTACGGGACAAATAAGATGGTCGTTCTCCTGTAATTTGAGAAACTCAAAATTATGAGTTTCAAAAGTAGTGTCTCTTGATAACACTGGTACAAGAAGAATCAGAGTCATGATAATCCAGAACTTACTGGAGATGGGTTTGAAATCGAGCATTGGTACAGGTGGGCTGTGCCCTGGGTTCAGGTGTGCCAGCTGATGAACAGTTAGTTGCATAAATGGACCTTGCCCATTTCAGGTACATGTGCCTTCCAAACTACAAACCTGGGATAAAACTTGGGTTTGCTATTTTAAATTCGTATTTAAATGATTTTTGTTATCCTTTATTCTATATGTTATTTGTAAAATGACTTAAACTATAGAAAAATAAAAAGAGTCTTTTGGAGCCAGATGGTAAATGGTGATGACGATTTTTTCCTGGCATGCTGAGGGTTAAGCATGGTTCAGAGTGTTTTTTTCTTTTCTTAATGTTGCCTAGATTTTATTGCTGAACCATACACTATGGGATTGATGTTAACAGTAATTCCCACCTCATGAAGGTAAGACTAAGGGCCTACCTACTGCACTTTCCCCATCTTCCTGGGAACGGTATTTGTGGGTTTGTTTGAGTCATTTGCTGCTTCCCCCATGGCAACATTTTGTCCAGTTCAGATAATATCAAAATTATTCATGTAAAAGAGCAACATAATCTCACTTCCAAATAAATGTATATCTTTGTTTCCTCTTTTTCATTTTTATTTTACTGGCTGCTTTGTCCCTGTTGAAATTCCTTTGGAAGCAATGGCTTAGAGCAGTGAATCTCAACTCTGGTTGCTGGTAAAATCACCTGGGGACTTAAAAAACATACTGTACATAAATCGGATATCTAGGCCCTGCCTGCAAAAATTTGAAATCACCTGTCAGGTGCAGGGCTCCGACAGCCGTCTTTGTAAAGCTCCCAAGTGATGCTGATGCTGCTGTGGTTGAGAGCCACCGGCCTGGAGTCTCGATTTAGCAGTAGACCACTGTTTGCTGTCAGACTTATGTGGAACCTCAATATATAAAGTAAAAAAGTAGCATTTCATTAGTGCAAACTTAAAAGTTTGAACTTTATAATATTAAGGCAATCAGTTAAAATAATTTATGTAAATTTTCACATCACATAATTATACTGTATGTTGTTTCCATCCATTAAAAAAGAAACATGGCTGGGAAAGGCACAGTCTCGTTTTAGAGTAGTAGGTAACTCTGCCGTGGAGAGGAAAGTGAGAAGCACATCGTTGTGTTTCTTAAAAAAGAAAAAAAATTAATGTCAGTAGTACTTAATGTTGACATTTGTTAAATCCAGTTGCCTGTTACATTATTTATACTTTTCTGCATGTTTAGAATAGGTCATAATTTAAAATAAAAGTTAAAATTAATTGGGCTGGTATAATCACAAAAATTAAAAATTTGGGTACGTGCATGGCAATTGATGTCTTCTGTCAGCCTCATCACCTGGTTTATCTCCAACTTTTGTTTTGGTTGCACATAAGGAGAACATTCCCACGGACACAATTCCTGAGCATGAGAGTGGACCATTTTTTAAAAGCTCATTCATTTAAAAAAATCTCTGGATAGTCTTCAAATAAATAGCTGTCAAAATTTTGACAGTCGTCTGTGTGTTAATATTTGATGTGAAACACATGCTTTTCTGTTGCTTTAAAAACCATTAAGATAAAATATACATAAAGAAGGTGATCACTTTAACCATTTTTAAGTGTAGTGTTCTGTGGCATTAAATATATTCTCAGTGTTGTGCAACCATCACCATCATTTGTTCTCAGAACTTTTTCACCCCTTCACATGGAAACTCCCGTACCTTTTAAACAGTAACTCCCCCGTCTCGTCCCCACCCCGGGTGACCTCTGTTCCACTTCTGTCTCCGTGCACTTGCCTGTTCTAGACACCCATCTAAGTGGGTGTTCGTGTTTGTGTTTGGCTTATTTCAGTCGTCATGATTTTTCAAGGTTTATCCATGTTGAAGCACGTTTCAGAATTTCATTCCTTTTTAAGGCTGAACGATACTCCGTTGTATGAATATTCCACATGTTGCTTTACCCCTTTGTCTGTTGACGGATGTTTGAGTTTCCACCTTTTAGCTATTGTGAATAATGCCGTGAGCAAGGGTGTGCAAGTGTCTGTCGGAGTCCCTATTTTAAATTCTTGCGAGTATATATCTAGAAGGGGAATTGTTGGGTCATATTGTAAATCTATGTATAACTTTTCGAAAAAACCAGCAAACTTTTCCATAGAGCTTGTACCATTTTACATTCTCAGCAGCAACATACAGGGGTTCCAATTTCTCCACATCTTTGCCAACACTTGCTGTTTTTTGTGGCCATTCTTAAGGGGGTGAAATGGTCTCTCATTGTGGTTTTGATTTGCATTTCCCAAGTGATGTTGAGCACCATTTCCCATGCTTTCTGTCTATTTGCATATCTTCTTTGGAGACATGTTTATTCAAATCCTTCCCCTATTTTTGAGTCGGGTTGTTGTTGTTGAGTTTTGTAGGAGTTCTTTTTATGTTCTGGGTGTTAATTCTTTATCAGATATATGATTTGCATATATTTTCTCATATTCCGTAGGTTGTCTTTATTCTGTTGATAGTGTTCTTTGCTGCACAAGTTTCTAATTTTGATGAAGTCCGATTTAGTTTTTATTTTGTTGCCTGTGCTTTTGGTGTTACATCCAATAAATCATTGCCAAATTCAGTGTTATGAAGCTTTTCCTTGATATGTTTTCTAAGACTTTTATCATTTTTGCCCTTATGTTTAGGTCTTGAGTTAATTTTTGTATATGGTGTAAGGTAAGGGTCCAGGTTCCTTGTGTGTGTGTGTGTGTGTGTGTGTGTGTGTGTGAATATCTGGTTTTCCCAGCACCATTTGTTGAAGATGCTTTAAAATTTAACAACTAAATGTCAAACCAAACCTCCACGGAACCCATGCCTCATGAGGTACCTTGCTTGAAGATTTACAGCTTTAAGGCTTCCTCATAAAAAGGCAGGCCTTCTTTCTCCTTAGGATTTAACAAGAATAAAAGTGTGTTTAGCTTAATAAACCACCGGAAATGCTATGCAAATAATGTTGACCAGGCAGAGGGTGCAGGGAAGCCAGGCTGGAAAGAAGACAGTAGCATCATGGAAGGGAGGGAAGGAACTATAAGTAGTGTCTGGGATAAACGTGTTTGTACAGGACTATATTCTTGATTGTATTCATTTTTTAAAAACTTCAATTTTTATTTCTTTTAATTACAGCTTAAAGTGATGATCCAGTGTAGGTATAGGATCTACCTGATAAAATGTAAGGAAATGTGGATAGTCCTGTACACCTTGCTCATTCAGCCATTTCAGCCACAGGTTCCTGTCAGACACGTCTAATCTCGGAAATAGGGTTTTATAATTTGTTGACTGAAGAGTCCCAGTAACATGAGGAAGAGCACAGGTTGCTGGCCTGCCATGATTTGGGGGCACTTTGCTGCTCTGGAGCTTCTCCAGTTAGTTCCTCCTCCTACTGGGCAGCACAGTCTAGGCTGCTGTCGCCTTGCGCGGAGAAGGGCTCCGTCCCTCTTCAGTCTCAGCCCTGGCTGGGGGCTGTGTAAGCCTGCCTACAGAGGTGGGGTCCCAGCCTTTGTTCAGGAGACTTGATTAGTTTGCATCTTGCATTTTGCCAGCAACAGTAAATATGAGATACTTGGCACTTTTATAATAGTTTCACGGCAATTTTTTTTTTTTAGTGGTTTCCAGGGACTTTATGTCCAGATAAGAAACCTGCGTACTTAAGTAGAGAGACTTATATTTGAACTTGCCATGCCCCACACAGATTTATTTTGACTTTTCCTAAAATGTGACGGGTCAGTCCTCGGAGGGCTTCGGCAGGCCCTCTTCCGGGGCAGCCGTGGCATCACGCTGCACTGCGATTAGGCTGACTCATATTCTGAGGTCTGTTACAGGTGCGTTGTCCGTGGTGGGTTTATGAGGTAGCCTGACCCAAGTTTGATAGAACACTATTTTTTTTTTTAAGATTTATTTATTTATTTATTTATTTTTAGATGGAGGGGAAGGCAAGGAGAAAGAGAGGGAGTGAAACATCAGTGTGTGATTGCCTCTCATGACCCCCCACTGGGGACCTGGCCCAGCATGTGCCCTGACTGGGAATCAAACCACTGACCCTTTGGTTTGGCAGGCCGGTGCTCAATCCACTGAGCCACACCAGCCAGGGCAACACTGTTTTTTTTTAATCTTTTAAATTCACTGACACATGGTACGTATGTGGCCTTGTTCACTGGTTTGACACTCAATCCAGAAAGCTAAGGTTCAGTGCTTTTAAGGTTTTATCATCACAGCTAGGGTGTTGATGGTTTTAATAAGAGTTAACTACTAAACAGTTATTCTTTTTTTAGGTGAATGGAAGAGAATCGGAAGAAGAAAATCTCAATAAATCTGAAATAAGTCAAGTGTTTGAGATTGCACTTAGACGGAACTTGCCTGTGAATTTTGAGGTGAGTTTATTTTACATGTTAGGACCCTGTATTATAAAATTCTGTTGACATTCATCATTGGAATTATATTTTTTCCTAAATAACATTTTAGAATCGTAATCACATATATGTGAAACCTTCAAATTTAAGATTCAAGTTGCATATTTAGCAGAGCACTATTATTTTCTCTCAGGAGTCGCCAGGGGCAGCCTGGAACCTCTGGGTGGCCCGTGGACAGCACAGCAGGCCTGCGAGCCTCCCACAGTGGGCTGAGCATTGTGTTTGTGCCCACACGGGCACTCTTCTAGGGAGCGGCCGTTGTTTTCATGACTGTCAAAAGCATCTCTTACTCTCAATGTTAGGAATCTTAAGTGGTCCCTAAAAATTGTATCAGAGTAATTTTATAAAGGACATAGGCTTTGTCATTGTCCAGCATCTGCTCCCCCAGGTGTCGGAGACTCTGGTCTACAAACCGTAATCAGCGCCTGTTCGCTGAGAACGGAGAACAGGTTACCTGTGTGTGCATCTCCTTCAAAGACGGAGTGCAAAGGTAGGCAGGGAAGGGAGAATTTTTAAATGTTTTCCTTGCCAGGTGCCAGACTGTTTTCGTCTGATTTCCATGCTTGGTTATGCAGGGCTGTGTGTTACCATACAGTACAGATTCTTTTACCAGTCGTTGGTCTTTCGGAGTTACAGAGAGTATACTCGTGTACTTAGTCTTCCTGAGGGCTTTAAACTTCGACATTGTGACTTTAGGCAAATGTAATTTACAGTGGCACATCTGCTTAAAACAATTTTAAGTGATTCATAAACTTCTTTTGTAACATTTTTGCAGTTACAGGTGATCCCAAATTTAATGCCTAACTTTCATAAATATACATACATCTTCTTACATACACTATATGCTGGCAGCCTAAACCGGATCCTGATTTCAGTCCTTCATCTGTCAGCTGATTGGTGATGATTTCTGACTTACTGCTTGGTGGTGCTTACCCACCTGCCCTGGGGCGCAGGGCCATCTCACACCCCCACACCCACCCCCGCCCTGTGCTGACAGGCCAGACCAGGTTTATATCGCTCCCCTTCTGGAGAGCAGAGGACAAAGGGCAGGTATCTTCTTACCCTGCCCCTCATCCCTTCCAGCTTTTCTCCCTCTGTTGGGGTGGGAGTTAGGGATAGGGGAAGCGATGAGACAGGGGTCGCACAGAACGACAGGACTGGTTGTTGGGTGGGAACTAGGTCGGAGCTTCACCCCAAGAGGCCATAAGGTCTCCTCGGGTGCCTTCTGCAGGAAAGAGAAGAAATGTTGCTTCTCTCTGCCTCCTGAGGGATGGGTAGCCACGGGAATGGATTTGCAGAGATTGGAGGGAGTGGTACCCAGGTTATTGGAGGCAGAGATGTCTGGCTTCCTGGGTCACCTCTGGGTTTCAGAGATGTCTGCTGGGGCCAGGGCCCTGGATTCCTGGGGAGCTTGTCACCTGCCCATGCTAGTCACCGCCCTGCCTGAGAGTCCTGGAGCTTACTGGAACCTGAGTGAGGGGTTGCTGCTTTAGGTTTGGCTCTGTGGGTTTTGGAGACCAGGTTGCTTCCATCTACTCGCTCTTCTGTTTAGGTTTTGGCTTCGGCTTTCAGACCTGTGCTCAGGAACATGTAACGTACGGCCCAGACTTGTTCAGGTGGTCACAGAAGGAACTGGCAGTGCCTTCTGGTAGCGAATGTCTTTTAAAGTAAAAAGATATTTTAAAGTCCTCACTCAAGGATATGTTTATTGCTTTTTTTTTTTCTTTCAGAGAGAGGGAGGAAGGGAGGAAGGGGAGGAGGAGAGAGAGAAACGTCAGTGAGAGAGAGAAGCATCGTTCAGTTGCCTCCTGTACACACCCTGACTGGGGATCGAACCCGCAACTTTTTGGTGTGTGCGACAACATACCAAGCAACTGAGCCACCCGGCCAGGGCTAAAGTAAAAATTTAAAACATTATAGCCCGTGTTCAGTTTGGGACATTGAGTTTGTTGACGTGAGCACTTATATATTAAATGACTCATATATCAAAGGCTCATATTAACTTCCATTGTTGGGTCGAGCAAAGACTTCATATTCCCGCACAGCTCTTGTTTCTAGCACCTGGAAGATTGCCTGGCATACAGTGGATGCCCTGCAAATATTTAATGACGAGTGAACAGCATAGTTTGTTTGTTTTTTAACTAAGTTTCTGGTAGTAAAATGTTGTTGCATAGGAAGCTGGGTTGGGGGTTGGTAAAAGACAGGAGCCATTCATAACAGAGTTCTTTAGAAAAATGTGTACAGCTTGATTTTTATATAAAATACATAGTTTTAGTTCAAAACTGTGATGGTGCTGATTGACATAGTCACTGGGAGGCGTTTGTGACTTGGCCACAGTCATCCATTGCAGGTCAAAGTCCACGTGTAGACGGGTGGGATGGCGCCCTGAGTCGACAGTGGAAACAGTTACTGAGGGCCGGGCGGAGCTGTGGCTGGAACGCTGGCTGGGGGGGTGGCTGCCGCCCTGAGGGCATGAGAACACTGTTCAGGGAGGGGGTCCCGGAATCTAGGCTGTCGGTGTGGGAGGTGTGGTGTGGAAGGCGTCCTGGGGGCCGGCGTGGCTCGGTGGAGCCTCGTCCCATAACCGAAGGGCTGCCGGTTTGATTCCCAGGCAGGGCACATGACCTGTGTTGCAGGTTTGACCCCCGGTTTAGGCGAGTGCAACCCCGGTCGGGGGGGCTACCGGAGGCAGCCAGTCAGTGTTTCTTTCTCACATTGATGTTTTCCTCTCTGCCTCCCTCTCTCTCTGAAAGCGATGAAAACATGTCCTTGGGTGAGGATAAAGAAATGGAATAAAACCAGTCTGCAGGGACTGTGCAAACTGTCCGTGGTCACAGAAGGAACTGTGGGAGGAACGCTCCCATCAGACCTCTCCGGTGTGCGGAGGGCAGGCGAGGCCTCCGTGGAGAGGACGCCGCCCTGTTCCCGCCCGGGGAGCGCAGTGCTGCGGACACCCACGCCTCCTTGTGCTTGTCGGCCGTTAGGGGTCTCGTCTGTAAAGTGCCTGTTCAGGCCTTTCTTCGAGTAGTTTGTGTTTCTATTGCTGCCTTGTATGAGTTCTTTAAATATTCTGGATAGAAATCCTTTGTCAGATACATGTATTGCAAATACTCATGGTCATTCTGTAGGTTCCCTTTTTCAGTTTTTAAATATTTTTTAATGAGCAGTTTTTAATTTTGAGAATTTTTTTCTTTATGATTGATGTTTTTTGTATTCCAGACTCTGCTAACTTCATAGTCACGGATTCTCCTGTTTTCTGAAAGCTGTATATTTTTAGCTTTCACATTTAGGTTTGTGTTCTAATACAAGTTAATTTTTGTTGGTGGTTGAGTGTGATGTCATAGTTCACTTTTTCCTCATAAGGATATCTAGTTGCTCCAATGCCATGTTTTTATTTAATTTTCTTAGACTAATTTTTTTTAGATTAAACTGAAACTAATTTTTTTAGTTTAGAGAGGGGGAGGAGAGAGAAAGGTGGGTGGGGAGAGAGAAACATCAGCTTGTTGTTCCAGTTATTATCACATTCATTGGTTGATTCTTTTGTACCCTGACCGGGAATCAAACCCGCAACCTTGGTGTATCAGGATGACTCTTCAACTAGCCAAGCTACCTGGCTAGGGCCTCCAATAGCATGTTTTTAAAAGACAACTTTGGACTTGCTTTGGTGTGTTTGCCCAGAATCAAGCAGCTATATGTGTATGTATAGGTCTGTTTCTGCATTCTGTCTGTTTTATCAATCGTTTTGTCCTTCAACAAGACCAAGATGCTGCAGTTGCCGGAACCTTATAGGAAGTCTTGAAACCTGGTAGTACAAGTCTTAGTTTTTTCAGTGGTGTCTTGGTGGGTGTAGGTAGGATTCAATTTTTATTTTCCTTCTGTGTGAGCATTTAATCACTTTGATATGCAATTAAGTTTCTGTTCATATTCCATTTCAGTGTTTTTCCCTGTCTTTGTTATTTTTATATTTTTAATATTTAAAACACTGATGGTTCTGAAAGTCAATAGTAGACAAAAAGACACATTCGGAAGTGTCACTTTGTCCCCTCTCTACCCCAGTCCCTCCCACCTGCTGTAGGGAAGTAATTCTGTTGCTTTCTCCTTTATTCTTCCTGTTTCTTTTTGCAATAATCACCATATAAACACGTGTCTATTTATATATGTGTGTATATGTATACATACATGTAAAACACAGAAGTTAGTGTACCATATATACTCTTTGCAGGGTTTTTTTTTTTACTTACTGTGTGTTGAAAATCACACTCAGTGCTTGGAGATTTTCTCATTCTTTTTTACAGCTGCATAGCAGCCAATATTTAATAAGGTCAATTTTGGCTGAAGGGTCAGAACAAATATTAAACTTGAACTCTTTCTGCTGCAGTTATTTCTGGGCTTTGCTGGACCAGCTTCCTTTCTGCCGTGTGCAGTGGACTGCCCTAGACTCAGGACAGTCCGTGACTCTGGGGAGATGCAAGCCGTTGTTCCAGAAGGGCGGCAGTGGAAAATGTTTTCTTCCTCCACGCCTCGCTGTTGTTCTGGGCTCATCAGACCCTAGAACATTTAACACGTTTGAAAAATAAGAAAAAGGGGAAGAAAAAGCATTCAGCACGATCACTGTCCTTTTGCCGATATTTATACTTCCTTCACGAGTGGGTTTTGTCCCTGATCCTCTTTACCTGTGTCTCACATGAAGTGGTGTGCTAACCAGTGTGCCCTGCAGGTTGTGCTGAGTGTCTGTCACGCTTTCACTCAGTCTTTCCCTCTGCAACAGGTCGCCCGGGAGAGTGGCCCACCCCACATGAAGAGCTTTGTGACCAGGGTGTCGGTTGGGGAGTTTGTGGGGGAAGGTGAAGGGAAGAGCAAGAAGATTTCAAAGAAAAATGCTGCTATAGCTGTTCTTGAGGAGCTGAAGAAGTTACCACCCCTGCCTGCAGTTGAGCGGGTGAAGCCCCGAATCAAAAAGAAAACCAAACCCATAGTCAGGGTAAGCACCTTTCTGAGTGAAGAGGGTGTTTTCATTGCTTGTGGTGGTCGGGGAGCTGAGAAGACCAGCTGCCAGTCTCAGTGGAAGTGGAGGGAGCTAACGTGCCCATGCTGGGCCCGGGAGACCCTGTCCGGGGCCTCCTTGTGTCGTTCCCTGGACAGCCCCGGGTCGGGCAGGCAAGGACGCTGAGCCGGGTCCAGTGGAGGCACCTCCAGGCACGCACACGCCTCTGTGGATGTGGGTGTTCGCAGCCCTGTGATCACAAGGGCAGTCAGCGCCCACCTGCGTGCGGGGAGAGCCGTGAACCGAGTGTCCTCCTTCTCGTGGGCTGCTGGGTTCGTACATCGTGAAGGAGATTCGTGGAAGGAAAGCTGCCCAGGGGCAGGTGTAGGAGCGAGATATCTTACTTTATGAGGGGGGCCCCCCCAAATTGTAATTGTCTTCTGGAGGATGGCCCCTTGTAGCACAGGGTTTCCCCACTAGGTGAGTTCTAGGAACCCAACTGTATCAGTGTAGTAGCTGGCATTGTCGTGAGAGTCTGCGTTTGGCTTCAGTGAATTTTTTTTTTTTTTGAGACTTTCAGTGCATTTACTGATTTCGTGATGAGTGATTTACGAGCATACCTGCCCGTACGACACTGAGTGTTCAGCAGGGTTTGGCCAAAAATGGCATGACCCCCATGCCCCGCCCTCCCTATTCACCCAGTGTAGCTTCTAGTGACTTTTTTTGTTTCTCTGGATGAAAAAAGTCCTCAAAGGGAGATATTTCGCAGATGTAGAAGATGAGAAACAAAAAAAGACAGAAGCACTAAAAGGCATCAGAGTCTAGGAGTTGAAAATTGTTACTGAGCAATGAAAAAGATGTCTTTTTTTATAAAGATTTTATTTATTTATTTTTAGAGAGGGGAAGGGAGAAAGAGAGAAACATCAGTGTGTGGTTGCCTCTCGAGTGTACCAAACTACACACCTGGCCCGCAACCCAGGCATGTGCTCTGACTGGGAATCAAACCAGTGAGCCTTTGGTTTGCAGGCTGACACTCAAGTCCACTGAGCCACACCAGCCAGGGCAGAAAAGATGTCTTGATGGGTGTATTGAATGGAGAGTACTTTGAAGGTGACAGAAGTTTAAACATGTAAGAATAAATACACAAATTTTTATAAATCCAGGTTTGTTTTTGGGTCCTCCTTATACACCTTGTTGTGGAGTTTTAGGTTATGCTAACGGACCTATCAAAAATTGTACTGCTCCTCCAACCCCCACCCCCACAGAGGGACAGGAGTCCATGTGGGGACATTTGTTAATGTCAGGACTGTCAGTATGGTTTCATGCTGTATCACCAAGATCCAGATTTCTCATACACACAAGTTAGCATACTGTACATAGGAAAGCTAGCATGTTTTTGCAGTTTCTTTGTTTTGCTTAATATATCCTGGAAATCCTTATCAGAGCAGGTGCAGATTCCTTGGTGCTGAAGATGCTGCCCACTGTAGGGCTCTTAGGTTCTTCATTCTATGTTTGAATTTTTTTTTTTGTATATTTTTAATGGTTTCTGGATTTTGAGTCATTATTAAGAAAGTTGGGAACCCATCTTATAGTATAGAGTTTTGGGAAATTTTAGGAACAGTGTTCTTATTTTTCTGCCTTTTCATTCATTGTAATATACTGAAATTGTTAAAAAGCAGACATTGCAATGGTGCTTGCCCGCTGCTAGTGAAATGTTGATGTCAGTTTGCTAAGAAGACCCTAAAATCACTTTATAACAGTCATAGAAAATCTTTTATCATCTTTCAATTAAAAAAAGTTTTGAAAAGAGCAGATTAATTCTGAGCTGTTAGAGCAATATAAAGTAACTCTTGTTGTGTCCTGACCTCTGAATCGGCAAGGTCCTTCCCGTGACTGACAGGCGCACGGTCTGTGCGGTCGTCGTTCCTCAGGTGCAGAGCGGCCCGGAGCACGGCCAGGCGATGAACCCCATCAGCAGACTCGCCCAGATCCAGCAGGCCAAGAAGGACAAGGAGCCGGAGTACATGCTGCTCACAGAGCGAGGCCTCCCACGCCGCAGGGAGTTTGTGATGCAGGTGGGTCGGTGCGGCTTGTGGACGTCCCTTCTCGGACCCCGTCCCGTCCCCCAGCCCGACGAGACCCAGGGCCGGACACCTTCCTGAGGAGGCCGGGCGCAGCGCATCGGTCCAGTGGGCCGCTCCCTGCCGTCCATGGTGCCGCAGTTAAAACCATGTTGGCTGCAGTAACTTGGGGCCTTAAAACCTTGTTTCCCCGTGCACCGCAGGTGCTGTCAGTCAGTAGGAATTTGGGCACAACGTGTCAGTTTAGAAGAGCGCTGGAGTGGTGGGATTGTGGGCAGATTTTTTCTTTTTTTAAGATTTTACTTATGTTTTAGAGAGTGGGGAAGGGAAGGAGAAAGAGAGAAACATCAATGCGTGGTTGCTCCTCGCTTGCCCCCAAATGGGGACCTGGCCCGCAACCCAGGCGTGTGCCCTAATCAGGAACCAAACCTGCAACCTTCGGTTCCTAGTGTGGCGCTCAATCCACTGAGCCACACCAGCCAGGGCTCGATTCTTTTCCTTCATTACATCTATTTGAAGATTTATATTCTTTTCAGAAGATAAACTTTATAGTAGCTACACCAAGTGATCTCTTCCTGCTCCTCCTAATCCTTCTGTAGAATCTTCAGTCTGGGTTGGTGACGCTTCAGAGCAGTGTAGAGGGCTTTTCCTTGCACTTAGCTTATTAAACAAATATCCACGTGGGCCGCTTAATTTGTGATTTGAATCTAGTGGTGTTTTCTGGTGAAAACCAGGTTATTTAACTCATGTGTATCAGTTCACCTGTTAAAGCATCGTCACTTGGCCTTGTGTGTCTCAGTGCACAGTCAGAAGGCGAGGGGAGTAGTGATGGGTCCATTCTGCTAGTGAGAGCAGCTAGTGAGAGAATCAGTAATGGACCCGCCCGAGCTCACTGCCTGGCAGACGGTCAGGGTTCAACCCCAGGCCCTCCTCACAGGCCAGGGAAGGTTTCCCTGGTCCTCGCAGTTTGGTGACATGGGGCTCTTTGGTCATGCCAGCTTGCAAGGGGATTGCAGGCTCTGGGTGTCCTGGGTGTGTTTAACAGCCTGCGCTTCGGAGAGGGCAGTGCGCCGGGGGAGTGCGTGTGTGTGGTTTCCACACAGGGTGGGGCAGAGGTAGGGTTCCAGTTGTTCATATGGGAAATAATACAATAATTAGTAAATAACAAGAGTAAACTGTTTCACATACTCATAACTATAAACCTACTTTTGCCCCACCCTGTGTGTATGTATACACGTAGATGTTTTACAAATTTTATTGGATGTATAGCTCTTATAGCTCAGTTTACAAATAACACATTACATATGTATAATCCTCTTTATTGTAAACTTCATGCATCTGTCCCTTCATTGTGACTGTCAGTGACAACAGTGCTGTAAGTCAGACTGGCGATCAGTTCGTGTGCTGTCCAGGCTGCTCGTGCTGCTGACAAACGAGCGGAGTTCTAGCATGAAGATTGGTTGGTATTTTTGTTCACGTTAACAAGTGAGAGGAAAGTAAAACAACAAAAACGTGTCAGAATGTCTCCTATTTGTATGTAAACAGTATGAGTGACTTCTCTGCTCAATCACATAATTTTGCAGACTAGAAGAATTTCAGTTTTTTTGTACTAGTTACAATGTCTTGGTAAGACTTACCATGCTTTTGAGCTTAATCTGCATTGTTAACCTTTTCTGTCACTTAAGTCTAGAATAGACATTCAACAAAGCAACTCAAATCTTGCTCTGTAGTGTTTGCAGATTTCGGTGGTGCGAAACCCCACCATGGCCGTGCCCTTTCCTGGTTGTGGAGTTGGGAGGAGATGGGTAGCAGCACACAATTACATGGTAATTCCACCGTACAGATAAAACAGACGTAAAGAACTTCAAAAGCATAGATAACTCTGAAATGTAGTCCAATTAGGAAGTGATGAGTCTTAAGTATTCATTACCTGTTTGTTAAAATAATGTATTTCATTATATGCTTATGTAATACGAGACTGTTTGATAATAGTTGCCTTTAATGACATGTTCTCCCACTTCCTGCATGTTTACCAGTCCGAGCTTGCAGGCTGGTGCAGGCCAGCTCCTGGGCGCCGCCGGCCAGCTTTCTGGCCTCTGACCAGTGCTGGATTCTTTGGCTCGCACGTCACTTCCTGCTCGGTGTGTGCTCCGAAGGCCTGAGCGCTGACACGACTCCTGTCTTCTGTGTGCAGGTGAAAGTGGGGAAGCACACCGCAGAGGGAACGGGCACCAATAAGAAGGTGGCCAAGCGCAACGCGGCCGAGAACATGCTGGAGATTCTGGGCTTCAAAGTCCCACAAGCTCAGCCCACCAAACCAGCCCTCAAATCAGAGGATAAGGTGACTCTTCAGGGCTCCGTGTCCTCGCTCTCTATTTGCAAGATGACCTCCTGGCATCCGGGGACCCTCACACCTCCAGGGCCACGCGTCAGGGCAAGGCTCGGCCCTTCTGGCTGTGGCGCAGCCCCGCTGAGCAGCGTCTTCTCCAGCCAGACCGTTGTCAGGCGGTCAGAGGGGGAGTCGCCTGTCCATGGCCCCAGGAAGGGCTCCTAGTCAAGTTGTTCTTGTTTCGGTGTCTTTGTGGTCTAGGATGCTTTGCTGGAGGGCAGCTTGCTCCTCTCCGTGAGTAGGGCGCTGGGTGATTGGGCTTGAAATGAACGAATGTGTGATGGTTCCATCATGTGCGCTCTTAGACTGAGGCCTGCATGGAAGGTTCGTCATCTCGGGCTTTCATCCACCGTGGAGCAGGCTTTGGGTTTTCTGCGGGACTGAAGTAGTACACTTCGAGAGTCCAGGCCAAATCTGTGGTTTAGACTTGAGCTTTTTTTTTTTTTTCTTTACAAATTTAACAATAGATAAAAATCATCCCATATTGAAAATTTTACTTCACCCAAGACGGTTAAGCTGTGCCCCCCAAGCTTTGCCTGACCTTGTCTCCAGTCACTGAACTCTCCTGCCGGGATACACTCGCAAAACCCGGGACTGATGGGTGTGCCTCGGTCAGTCGTGTCAGCCGTGAGAGAGAGCGCCGCTGTGGCCGCTCAATTAATAAGTAGGACCCCAGACACTTAGCAGAGAATCTGCTTGGATCGTGGACTTGGATTTAGAGTGTTTTATTCCAGAACCTTGCAGAGCATTCATGGGCATCCTTACCTTCTCAGAAAGAAGACCTTGTGTCCGACAAAATTTTTACCTAGTAACATTTCCTCCTCAGTTTGTCGTCTCTGGAAATGTCACCTTGTGAGCTCCAGGAAGTATCGTTTAGCTTCAGTGGAAAAGCATCTTTCCCTGTCTTGGGCTCTCCTGATCTAGGGTCTTCTGGCTCTTTCTGGTTTAACGTTCCCATCTCTTCCTGTGCGTGCAGACGGCGGCCCAGCGTTCAGTCTGGTGCGCCTGCCATTTGGACAGGCTGGGGTTGGGCCCCGGGGGGGCTGTGCCCTGGGAGACGGCGGAGGCTTTGCTTCCGGGCTCGCCGGGTGGCGGAGGCGCACCAGTGGTCAGGCTCTGGGAGGAGGGCTGTCTGCGGATTGCCTCCTGATCTTCAGAAGTGTCAGAACCAAGGGTTCGTGCTAATTGGAGTTAGTAGTCTTTAGAGAGCAGGAACTAATTTTTCAAGTTTGACTTACACTCATAACCACCCTCCCTTTTTTTTAAAGACACCCATAAAGAAACCAGGGGATGGAAGAAAAGTAACCTTTTTTGAACCTGGCTCTGGGGATGAAAATGGGACTAGTAAGTGTGCTGTTAATATTATCTTGATCTGAGTGGGATTTGGGGATTTGCTTGGTTCCTGGTAACAGCAGTGCCCGAGAACAGGTGTCGGCGCTCCCAGCCCTGTGGCGTTGCGTCAGTGTGCGCGCTGAGGGTGGGCAGGCGGGGGGATTGTAGCACCTTCCCAGGCTGGCAGTGCGTGTGGCCTTGTGTTGATTTGCCTGCGTGTTCCTCCCTAGGCAATAAGGAGGATGAATTTAGGATGCCTTATCTTAGTCATCAGCAACTGCCTGCTGGAATTCTTCCCATGGTGCCCGAGGTTGCCCAGGCTGTAGGAGTCAGTCAAGGACATCACACCAAAGATTTTACCAGGGCAGCTCCGAACCCTGCCAAGGCCACGGTAACTGCCATGATAGCCCGTGAATTGTTGTATGGGGGCACATCGCCCACAGCCGAGACCATTTTAAAGAATAACATCTCTTCAGGCCACGCACCCCATGGACCTCTCACAAGACCCTCTGAGCAGTTGGACTACCTTTCCAGAGTCCAGGGATTCCAGGTAACTGCTGCACCGCGCTGTGGGGTCTGCGCGTCCGTGCAGTCCTCTTTGGGTTTCTCTCAGAAAATGAGCGTCCTACCTTGTTCTGAAGGATTGAGCTCTTTGTCTGGGGGGCGGGTGGGACAGGCATGGGGAAAGGGCCTTCTAAGGAAGGGTGGAGCGGTATGGAAGGTATTACAGGCCTGTGTGGCAAGAGAAAACCCTTGACCTTTGGTAATGAAAGTTTAAATATCCAAGCCAAGGGCAGTACTAACAAGGCCTCTGATCTAGTGGTGGTCGCAAGTTAGGTTTCGGTGAGACCAGATTCCTTGTGCGGGCCCTTTCTGCCTGGTAGGGAAGGGCAGGCTGCTTTCAGACCAGGGCTTTGAGGAGACATGTAGGTCCCGGGAAGGCTCCGGAGCTGTGGCCGTGATCTGCCCGCAGCCCCTGGCGCCCCTCAGCCGCAAGCCCCTCTGACAGTCTTCCGTGCTGACGAGCAGAAGTTGGTGTCCCGTGTCAGGCTGAGACCCGGGGAGAGGTGTCATTTCCTTCTTCTCAGAGCCCCTGCCGGTTCACAGTCACCTCTTCCCGACCGTTGCCTCAGTTTTCTTTTCCCCCTTAGGTCGAATACAAAGACTTCCCCAAAAACAACAAGAACGAATTTGTATCTCTTATCAATTGCTCCTCTCAGCCGCCTCTGATCAGCCACGGTATTGGAAAGGATTTGGAGTCCTGCCACGACATGGTACGTTCTCCCGTGGCGGGCCCGCTCCCGGCCTGGGGCCGGCCCCGGGGGGATGGTGGAAGGGGTTTCCCGCCGACGGGGCAGCCGGTGGTCTCACAGATCGAGTATTTCTGGAGAACTGGTCTCTTAGTTCCCTGGGCTGATGCCACGTCCTGTGTATGAGAACTTAGCAGCTTCACACAGCCCTTGTCGTGCAGACCCTGGGTTGGGGAACCCGGGAAGGCCCGGGTTCAGGCAGCCGTAGAAAGGCCCTTATTTTGGTGTTCTGCTCAGATGACATTTCCGTTGTAAGAAGTACTGACACCGGGAAGGGTTGCTTAGTGTCCATGGACTTCGGCACATTCACCCGAGGGGACTGGTGCATCCATCAGAGTAATGTCTCCGAAGACGGTGTATTCTAACAAGGAAGCATGAGCGGGTTTTGTTTTAAAGCAGGATATAAAATTTGTACAGCCCAGTTACCACAAGGTTAAAAATATTAGCAGGAAATACATGAGAAAATTAAGAGGTAATTTAATAATGAAACCAGAGATAATGAATTTTTTTAATTAAAAATTCAGATTAAAGAAGGTTATTCAGTGGGACCACCTGCTTTGCTAGGCAGCAGGAGACATTTCGCCTCCAACCAGTGGCTTGCGCTGTGGCCCGAGCAGTGGCTGTGGTCTGACCTCTCTTTTCGTCCCCTGCTAGGCTGCACTGAACATTTTAAAGTTGCTGTCTGAGCTGGACCAACAAAGTACAGAGATGCCAAGAACAGGAAACGGACCAATGTCTGTGTGAGTGAGCTGATCTGCATGGAAAGCAGTTCTGTTCCTTGTTTGCGATAAATGCAAGCTGTCTGGCCAGCGCAGTGCTGAGACGCTGGGCCGCAGTTACTTCCTGTCCCGTGCCCCGGCTAGCTTTCCCAGTTCGGGGCAGAGAGCTCCACTTCTTAAAAAATTTTGAGTACTTTATTTTGCCATGGATAATGCACATCCACATTTTTGGCCCAGACTTTGAGGGAAAAAATCTTTTGTTTTAATTTTTAAATTCAGTTATTTATGTATTTACATTTAGGTACAAAACCAGTTATGTGTTCCATGGTATGGTATTACTTTGCATATGGATATCATTACTACTCTCTAGTCATACTTTTTTTTAAAGATTTTTTGTTTATTTTTATAGAGAGGGGAAGGGAGGGAGAAAGAGAGGGAGAGAAAAATCAGTGTGTGGTTGCCTCTTACATGCCCCCTACTGGGGACCTGGCCTGTCACCCAGGCCTGTGCCCTGACTGGGAATTGAACTGGCGACCCTTCAGTTCTCAGGATGGTGCTCAATCCACTGAGCCACACCAGCCAGAGCTAGAGTTACACTTTTAATTCTAACATTTATATAGATGCAGAATTAGTACTACCCATGTATCATGTGCATCTTTATTTTTTCCTAAAAAATTTGGGCAAAACCTCTGGCTGGTGTGGCTCAGTGGATTGAGCACCATCCTGAGAACCAAAGGGTCACTGGTTCTATTCCCAGTCAAGGCACATGCCTGGGTTGTGGGTCAGGATGAGTTTGGGGTGTGTGAGAGGTAACCCACACATTGATGTTTCTCTCTTTCTCCTTCCCTTCCCCTCTCTCTAAAAATAAATAAAATCTTTTTTTTTTTTAAAGATTTTATTTATTTATTTTTAGAGAGGGAAGGGAGGGAAGGGAAGAGAGAGAGAGAGAGAGAGAGAGAGAGAGAGAGAAAGAGAAAGAGAGAGAAACACCAATGTGCGGTTGCTGGGGGTCATGGCCTGCAACCCAGGAATGTACCCTGGCTGGGAATCGAACCTGGGACACTTTGGTTCCCAGCCCGCGCTCAATAAATAAAATCTTTTAAAAAAATAAATTTGGGCAAAGAAATGTACATTTTACACAGCAAAATATGGTAGTTAATATATTCACATGGTCCCAAAATCAAAATTATTTTAAAAGGTATGCTGTGAAAATAAATGCTGCCCTCATACAGTTCCCCGTCGCCTCATTCTCCCCCCCCATCCAGAGGTCACATTTTTATTAGCTTCTTATGTATGGATACTTCTTTCTTTATGCAAATACAATCTCACACATCCTTACTCCCCCGAGCCGCTGAGGTAGCATGCTGTGCGCACATTCGCCCCCTGCCTTTTCCCCTTGGCAGCGCACCCTGGGGAAAGTTGGCTGCAGTCATCATAAGCTGGGGCCCGTGCTGTTGGGCTTCTCTCAGTGTCTGCAAATTTCTTTTAACATGGGTTTAATTCTCTTCATTTCAAACTAGCGTCATTTTCTTTTTTTTCTTCCTTAAAGGTGTGGGAGGTGCTGAACCCCTTCTGGTCATGAACCGTTACATAAACTTCCCAACAGATACTGAAAATCCTGGGACTGCTTTTGAAAATTTGGAATTTCTGATACCTCGAGTGGGCCGAGAGACCTGATGGGTAAAGAACTGGAGACAGCAGTGGTGACAGAGGCGGGAGGCTGAGGCTGCTCGAATGTGCTGTGGTTTGTCCCCACATGGTGGCAGCAGCAGCTGCTGTGGGGGAGGGTTGGGCCTGCCAAGCAGCCCTTGCTCAGTTGCAAAACCAGCAGGTCCCTGCCCCCTGCACTTCAGTGCTTGGTGGTTTTCTTTTTTTCTTTTTTCTTTTTTTTTTTTTTGCTGTGTGGAAGAAGCAAGCAGAAAACAGGACCCTTTCTCAGACCGGCTCACTAACATACTTTGGGACAAATCCTGGACACCCACGCCGGAGAGAGGCCTTAGACCAGCAGGCCCAGAGCTGCAAGCACTAGAGGAAAATCAAATGCTTCCTACTCGGCGCGAGCTAACCCCCTAGCTTGCTACGGCTCCCCACCTCCCGTGGTACTCACCCGTCACCACTGCTTTCTCTTCCAAAAGAGATGCATATTCTTAGTTTTATTATTTTCTTTGGATTGAAATGACACTATAAATTTTCATTTGAGTTTCTCAATTGTATCTAGTTACATAGCACAGTTTAGAAACTTAAGAGACTATCAGTAACTTAACCGGCAAAGATTAAATCCCTTTCATCCCATTGGACTAACCCGGGACCGTTCCAGTGATGCAGGGTGCGTGCCCTCGGTCTGGCTGGAACAGTCCTGGACTTCTCAGAACCCTTGATGAAGTCTCTCACAGGTGTACAAATTGGACGATTTAGGAATTTTAAACTTTAAATGATCATTTGGCTCCTTTTCTATTTCATTTTTGTTAATGCAACACACTTAAATGAACTTTGCTCTCTGTTTTAAAGATTATTAAAATCGTGTGTATGTACATATGGCTCTTGAGGACACACAGCTTTCACTACACTACAGGTGTGACCTCCATGTAGTCCGTGCGGAACTGCAGGCTGGTGTCCCCGAGCGCGTCATACTGTTGATTGCATCTCCATGTAGGGCTGAAAAGAATGACCTACCCGTGTGTATCTCTGAAACTGTTGCTTTTGGTGTTGTGCTACTGTGCACGGAAGTGTGTGCGGTAAGGTCCTGCCCATGGTTCAGCTGGAAAGCACGGTAGCCTTGCGAGTTAAGTACTGCTTTGATTCATTGTTTACGCCGGAATTTTTTGTCCCCATGGAATGTAAGTAAAATGTAGTGTTTGTCACCAATAAATGGTAATACTAAATTTTTTTGTTAATTTATTCTCAGATGCCACTACTGCTAGGTTGGGTCCCCTCCCAACCTGCCCCCTGTCCTTTTTTTAAGAAAAGAAAATTTGTAATGCTTGTGATTCCATTTGGGCAAAATTCTGAAGACCTGAAATTTGTATCTGTTGATCAATAAACATCTAATGCATTTGTTTTGTCCTGTTGAGCAGTAACTAAAGGGACAATGTAAGGGCACAGAAGCACAATGTGGGGGGGCATCGCTGCCAGTGACATGTGGGCACTGGGTGAAGGGAGATGCCTGTCATCGGAACCTGACACTGTTACCCAAAAAACGACCTGGAGGCTTCCCGACACCGCGGGTCTCTTCCCTTCCTCAGGCGCTCTCCCACTCGGGAGTAAGGGCGAGGCATTGCTTCCTAGCCTGGCTGAGGAAGGGGCTGGTGGTTTTCTCTTAATTTTAGAAGATTCTTGAAAAGGTGGTTAACTATAAAACCAGCCTGTGGATTGGACTGCTGGAATAACCTGAAGGGATCAGAAAGTTACGGGGAAACGAGGGATTCAACACTACAGGCATAGAAGCAGTGAAAAGCAGGCATTTCCCCTCGCCCAGTCCTAGACTCAGTCGTTTCTCCAAGGAGCCCCGGTCCCCTTTGGTGACAGACAGCGTTCGGAAAGCAAGATGTGGGTGCTTGGAGCGAGCGCTCACTGCCACCGACCGGGCTGTTGTTTCTAGGCCCTCTGCGCAGACGGCTTGGACACAGGTCCATGTACGATGTACATACATGTGTGTTTGCAGGGGTGGGCAGAGACAGGTTTACAGTTCATATGGAAAATAACAGTATTAGTACAAGAATAAGGTTTTGCATGCTCACAATTGTAAACCTACTTTTGTCCACCCCTGTATGTATGTGTACACATCTGTTTATTTGTACATATATTTAAAAGCCATGCATTTATACTGATACCTCCAGCAACCCTGAGCTCTTCACAACTTTTGTTTTCGGTACTTTCTACAACACGGAGGTTGCAGCCAACCTCCCAGCACTGCCAACCATGTTCTCCAGTGGCTGCCTACCGCGACTGCCCTTGTGTTCTCAGCGACCTGTTGAGGGCACACTGCCTCTGCCTCAGTGGTGACAGGAGTTTTAGTGCTTGAGAACTTCCGGTGGCTGTTTCCAGCTGGCCCTCGTTAACAGCGCTACAGAAGTGAGTTTCCACTTAAATTTCCACTTAGGAATGTTAGGATTTCTGGGTTCCTTTGATAAGAGGTTTTCTGAAGGTGACACATCTGGCTGCTTTGGAGACATGTCCAGACAGGACGTCCTTCAGTGTCCTGAACGTACACTCAAACCAGCTTTGCCTCTCTGCACAGGCCCCGCTCATTCTGCAGCACCTCATCTCCACGGGCTTTGAGAGCGCTGCCTGGGAATCCAGAGTCTGCAGTACGTTTTATTCCAACGTGATCTCTTAAGAGTGGCGAGAACCTTTGAGCCCAAACTATACTTCTGCCCTTGGGACAGCAGATGCAGTCTTTATGATTTGTAGAGTGTTGGTCTCCCAGCCAGAGGCTCCTCCTCATCTTACGGCAGACAGGCTCGGGAGTCCCTGAGCCCATAGTGGTGTGCTGACGTTGTCAAGTTCCTCCTATCACGAGATGTTAACGAGCGAAGATGATTTCCCTATAGCTGAGTTTGTTTTTTTAAAAGTCTTACAAAAAGTGTCACTTCTGAATCTAGGTTTCTTGCCACTGAGCTAGTGTGCATGGTTTTGCAGGGCAAACGCCCAGTGACGGCAGCCACTTCGGCCTGGATTCCAAGGTCTCATGGGGTGGGAAGGAGTCTGGGATGGGTGACCAACGGGAAAGGAAACCAGCTGTTCCCGAGCAGCTGCGGCTGCGCAGGGGCTGATGTGAGCTCAGGAGGAGGTGACCTCTAGGGAAGAAACCCACGGATGGAGGTGTGCAGCTTTTTGTCTGTGGGCGCCTTTAGAAACTTCCATGACTACCACCATCTTTGGTTTTAGTGCCTAAAAGTCTGTGCGCCCTTAATAAGACACAAGACAAAACGAAAAACATACCTTGCTTGAAATTTCTGAATCCATTAGTAATGACTTGTCGAATACTTAAGCATTTCTGGATTGGCAGAGAGAAGCCAGCCAACAGAAGTCATTTAAAGAAATGTGTGTACTTCCAAGAACCAGTGGCTAACTCAAAGATGGGAGGTGGTGGAGTTTCCATTCCTGAAATCAGCAGTTACTTTCTTGGAATGTGTCATTGTGTGTATAGAATATACATGTGAAGCTAATCATATTCTAATCAGACTTTGTACTTTGAACAGCATTCCCAATTTTATTAGCAAAAATTATGTGTAATTTAGGAAATTTGTACTGCTTTGCTTAATACTTGCTTAGTCCAAGTTTAATATTCTAAAAATATTTCCTTTGTACATTCTACAAATATCAAAATCTTTGATGGAAATACCCACTAGCCCTGCAATAACAGGAAACAGCAATCTGTGCAGGGGCAGTTGTTTAAATGATGTTTTAGTTTCAGAGTAAGTTGCAAAGAGTTTGCAGCGTGCACTTGGAGTATCCATCCTGAAGCTCGGGGGTGAGGTGCGCACCGAGCACCCGGAGCTCGTCAGGATGGGGAGCGCCAGCCCCGCCCTCCCTGCCGCAGGTGCAGCAGCAGCGGGAGTCTCTCCCCGACCTCTGACGCTGCTGAGGGACCACTGGGCAGTTGCTCCCACTGTGGAGTGAGGCTCTGTCAGCATCCTGTGTAACTCCATCAGATTTGTCAAGTAACTTTTCGTTGTGAATTTATGCTTAATCTTGTCTCAGATCACTGAACCTTTCCCCCCTGCCCTGTTTCGGGTTGTTTTCTGCTACCTTGTCTTCCAGATTGGCTGACCTGACCCTCTGCTTCATCTAAGCTGTGGTTGATTCCCTCTCATGTCTTCTTCATTTCTGACTAGGTTTTCTGTTGTTTGTTCTCACCGAGTTTACCTATTTCCCCCTAAGCTCACGGATTACCCTTATAGCCATGTTTTGACTTTGTGACTCTGTTCTGTCCTTTGGGAGAGGATTCTTTGCCTTCCCATTGTGGCCGACCACCATGCCTGTTTCTGTTAGGTTGATCTGCCAGGTCTGCCGGTCTCGACAGAGGAGCCTCTCGTACTGTGTGTCCGTGAGGCCTGGTGGGTTAGTGTCCCTGATCAGCGGAGCCTGGTGCTCCAGAGCACCCCGCCCCTCGTGCAGGTTGCGCGCCCCCCTGTTGCAGCTGAGCCTCGACTGCTGTCGGCATGTTGGTGGGTGGGACCGACCCTCCAGCTGACAGGCTGAGAGATGGCCTTAACCAGTTGTCATGTGGGAGTTGATCCCGTGAAGCAGAAGTTGCTTGAGTGGGGCTGTGGTTTTAGCCAAGTCCAGCCTTCAGGTGTGTCCTCTGTGCAGCTGCTTGGGTGGTGGTCGGATGCGGTCTGAAGTGTCTTAAGAGGGGCTCCAGTGCAGGCCAAGGCCAGCAGTTGTTTACAGGGCACACAGGGACCTGCAGTTGGTTGCACTGGTGCTGGGCTTGGGGCCACCTGATGGGATTACCCCACTAGTTAGGATGGGTCACCTTTTGTGCCAGGCTTGGGGTCCAGGATACAGTGAGGACAGATAGCTGCTCCTTGTTCGGAATCTGGATAAAGGCCTCAGCACCCATGGAGGAAGGCTGCTTGCGTGGAGAAGCTGCTTGGCTGTGCCACTTTGGTGGGGTCTCCGAAACAGAGGCCCCTGGGGCAGAGTGGAGATTAGTATTAGGTCAATGGAGAGGTCAGAGTGGCGCCAGCTCAAGCTTGCCACTGAGGAGAAGAGCAGTGGTGCCGTCCATCCGGCCCTCCGACCTGCGCCCCGAAGGGAGTCAGTTCAGTCCCTCCCCATAGGGCCCTGGAGCGTTTTGAGCTGATGCGGTGGGCTGGGGGTGTCCAGTGTCTCACTCCTCTGCAGGGGACCCCTCCACGACCAATACTCCTCCTCACGTGGGTGTGGGACCCTCCCATTCCATGTCTCCGTTCCTCCCACACTTTCATCCTGGGTTCTTTATACCCTTAGTAAGAGGAGGTTTGTTCATTTAGTTTCCGAGTTTTCAGGTGGTGGTTCTATAATTAATTCAGCTGTAACTTGCACGTGGTTGTGGGAGGAGGTGAGGTGAGCAGGTTTACCTACTTCACCATGCTGCATGTCCTTGCCAGTTGTGTCAGAGAATGGCAGGCCCGGCAGGTGGCGCCCCCGCCCCCGGGCTCACTGCACACAGGCCAGGATGTCTTCTCAGCTGACATTTGCTGCAGAAACCCAGGTTCCCGGGAGCAGTGATCATTTTCCCCTCCAGGCGCAGAAGGGTTGACTGAAAACTGCAAGGTGGACATTTTCCTGGTACAAGGTAAATACAAACCTCTCCTAGTTTGTTTCCCACTTCCTTTTGCATCAGGTCCGAGAAACCTTTCCACCCACTTTTTTTTTTTTTTTAAATAACGTGGACAGTGCTTCCCACCTTAGCAAGTTTTTTTCTCCCCTCATCCAGTGAACTTTACAAGGCGGAAAGCCGGGAACAGATAAACGAGTTCATGGCTGCTTTCTCCCGCCCTAGCTTTACCACCTAGCATGCAGCAACCCCGAAGAAGGGTGTTGATATTCCCTTGTTATCAGGGAGCACCAAAAATCTGTTCTTGAGAGGCTCTTAGATACATAAAGTTTAGGGCTCTTTTTATTGCTGATTACAGATTTAAAACTATGTAATGTGCACTTCTTGGCAAGTCATACAAATGATTACTTACACTGCAAATAAAAGCTTAAGGAAACACGAAAATACAAAGGACAAGAAAACCACAAATTGGCATCAGCCTCAAAACAAAAGGACTTAGTAACAGATAAAACGTCTCCACAGTTAAGTGTCTGTCAAAATTTTTAAATTATCCAAACAGTGCAAATGCTCAACTCAGTGTCATATACTGAACTATTAATACTTGTCCCTTGAAGCTGCAAACTGGAAAAGTTAACCACTTTTTATGATCACACAAACCACCTAAGTTGCCCAAGGTTTAGAATAAAGCAACATTTAATATTTTTTAAAAGATGGAACTTGTGACACGTTCAAAAAGAAAACTTGCTTTGTTTTTATGCAGCTGTGCTCAGAAGTTGACCAACTTTCC